ACTCGGGCTGGGTGCGGGGTCATGCCATGTACCTTGTACTAAATGATGCCGAGCTTGTGAGGGCGTTGCATTTGTTTTGGTTTATGTGCACCGCACAACCGCAGCCCCCTTTTGGGCCCAGCGCCCAATTTTCCCAATAGGGTAGAGATGGAGCCGGAACTTGTCCGGCGCACACCATTTGGCCTGGCCATGGTCCGCCTACCAGGGCACATGCGGGAGCGCCTACTGTACCACGGCATCTTCCCCACACAAACTGAAGGGGAATTGCTGCCTGGAACAGGTCCCATCGGACCACCCAAATGCACTTGATGGGAGCATCTGGCTCACCCGGGTTCACCCGGGCAATGACATTGACCCCTTCGAATGAGGAGCATCGTAGATCTACAATGGTGGCCACCACCCCATGGATGGAATCATTTGTGGCAGACTGCCTACACAGACTTCCACCACCGGTGGACCCGAACGAGAGAGACTTGATCTACGACACGTGCTTCACCCTTGTCACCGCAGTTGAGACACTGGAAACCGGGACGCCTCAAGGAGGAATCGGCCACTACTCAACGCAAACTGGAACTGCACCTCCGTGAACGTTGGGCCGACCAGATCATTGGCATCCTCCTCCCATTTGCAAAGGACATACCCTACATGAAAGCGGTCCAAGGAGAGAACACCCACCAGGAGTACTTGGACCTGCTGGGAGACACCCGCTTCCGCACTCTCCGTATCCACTGTTTATGCTTTGAGAACATTCAGAAGTTGTGTTTCAACTCGATCCCATGGAAAGAAGGCGACATCAGAGGCCTCCTTAACACCCTTTGGGACCAGGAGATCACACCACACAAACTCCAGAGCACCTGGAACACATTCCGATGGTTCTCTGCCAAGTTCGGGCTCCTTGACCCTGATGGACTTGAACGGCTCAAGGCGAAGCGGAAAACCATCCAGGAAGGTTTGGTGGAGACCAACATCAAGCCCCAGAGGAAAGCCAAGTTACCTTCGAGGGAGGTCATCATTGCCCCGGAGAAAATTGCCGCAGGGGACTTTGCTACCAACCCCAAGCTGAGACGACCTCCCCAAGGTGCTCTTGGACAGGTATATCTGTGCCATGGCCAGATTTCAGGTAGCATGTAGCGCCAGGTTCAACGACCTCCAACACACGAGTCGAGGTTGGATACAAGCTCACGGAGACCACTTTGGAACTCCAAGCCTGGCAGAGGAAGACTCTAAGCGCTTTCCGCATCAAGAAGAACCCGGTTCCTTTGATGGCCCCGCTTTATTCATTCACGGGGCTAGACTGGTGGACTATCCTCACCCAATCTTGGGACCGATTGGCAGCCCATGACAACTTTCGGGACATGGACTACCTCATACCGACGATCAGCTCCGACTTCACAGGCTTGATCCCGCGCCCAGGTCAAGCGGATCGGACGCTGCGATGGCTGAAAGATGCCTTACACAGACAAGGCACCCTTGAGACCTCGACGTTTAGACAGTTGAGTTGGCATAGTTTTCGGGTCTTCATCCCCGACTGTGCATATCAACTTGGTATGCCCCGAGACCAACGGCAATACCTGGGAAACTGGTCCAAAGAGCCTGGACTGAGGTTGCTGGCAAACCGTGGCCCTCATGAATCACTAAGGGCCATAGGGGGAAAGACCTGGGCTTGAGCGGTAGCCTATGGCACCGACCAACCGGGTTATGACCCCCTCGGCTGGGGTGCCATCCTTCGGTGTGGCGTGGTGGTGTCACCCGACCTGCGGTTTGGGTGGACCCCTCACAGACATGGGGACTCGAGTCCAACTCCCTAGCTGAACAACTGGACACGGACAGAGGTAGCCTTCTGCTGCTTCGACAGATGGTGATCACAGCATTAGCACACCAAGCCAGAGAATCGGAGGACTTCCACTCCTTCTTGGAGCACCCAAGGGGCCCGGTGGAATGCAGCAGCGCACCGGCGGCAAGCAGGTGTTCGTCGATCTGGGCGACAGAGGTGTACTGACAGTGGGCCAAGACCATGCACCACCGGAAGATCCACCTAGACCAATGCCGCCTGGGACAAGTAGTCCAGAAGAGTAGCTCTCTCCACAGATCTCCCCCGGCGAGCCACCGGGACGGACAGATAGATCCTCCTCGGTCCCCCTTTTTTCTAGCAATGACATCCTCCCCTGAGGCTACATTCCAGGCTTGCACACCTGGGGGAGGCCATCGCCCCACTTGCACAGTCTTGTGCCCAGGAAGTCCAACGCTCCATCAACCGGGGTGATAGGAAACATCCTTTCCCCGATGAATTATTGAAAAGCACTAGGCACAGCCTCGCCCAGGCAGTTGGGCTTGGCCCGGAGGACACGGAGGTGGCAGCTGGCCAACCATTCCATCTGAATCTGATCACTGCCATAGCAGAATATGGAGGGGATATTGATGCCATGTATCCCAAGGCGATTGCGACGGGAGTCCCTCTGGGGGTCACCACCCCCACATGGACTTCACCTGGCATCTGGCCCACAAAGGAGGAACTCAAAGGAGAATCACCGGTGTGGGACGACCTATTCCTACAATTGGGGAGGGACAACTACCCCTCTGCCAAGGACTTTGCCACCCAGGTGAGAAACACTTTTGTTGAGGAAGTCGACCTGGGAATGGTGGAAGGACCGCTCACCCAGGATGAGGCGGCGAGGCGATGTGGATGCACATCTGAGGAGCTCTGCCCAGGGCCGCTGGCAGCAATTGACGAAGGGGACAAAGTCAGAACAATCTACGATGGCAGTTGGGGGCATGCCAACTCCCACATACAACAAAACACAGTTGAGAAGACCACGCGCCAACGATTATGGACTGTGTCCAGGCGATCCACTGGCTGAACACTACAAAGGAGAGGCCCACCCCAACAGTAGCCACTGGCACTGATCTGGGGTGGGTACCTCCCCACAAGAACACCACCTGGGCCATCCTGAAGGCTGATGTGTCCAAAGCACACCGACGCATCAAAGTCACACAAGAAGGGTGGCGTTTCCAGGTGGCACAGCTCGAGGGGGAATGGTGGATCAACAAGGTTGGAACCTATGGTGTGGCAAGTGCCCAACTATATTGGGGCAGAATGGCTGCCCTCCTCCTCAGACTCTGTTACATGATCTTCCCACAGGTGGACTGGGGCTTTGTCTTTGTTGATGATTTCTGCTGGCTTCTTAGGACTGACACGGCCAGCCGGGACATGGCACAATCGCTCCTGCTCCTGGCCGCACTTGGATGCCCTCTGCGTTGGCACAAAACAGTCTTATCTGAAGTCAACACATGGTTGTGCTTCCAGGTCAACCCATGTGGACCCGTGGTGGACTTCCCCATGTACAAGAAGACCACCCTTGGCTCTTTACTCGACAAGATCATCTCGGGCAACTCTTTCACGGCAAAGGAGATTGAACGTGCGCTCGGGCGCTTGAACTGGGCAACAGCAGCATGGCCTCTCAGCCGTCCCTTCCTTCAACCCTTCTGGGCTTGGAAGGCTGCTACAACATCATCAGGGAGACCTAACACACTCATTCGATCCTTTGCCAGGCTTCTTCTCCATTTACTACATCATCCCCAAGCACAACCCTGCCCTTATGACCCAGCCTCAAACTGGTGGGGAGCTAGTGATGCTAGTGCACACCCAGTGGACGGGGCCTACATTGGGGGATGGATAGCAAACCGGGAAAGCCCTTGCAAGGAACACACTTGGTGGTTCCACTACAAAGTGCCGCTAGAAGACCATGACTGGGCCCACAAGGATGGTGACCCAACCAGAAGGATCGCGGCACTGGACATGTTTGGCACTCTGATCCTTACTCATTTCCTTCTGATCCTGGGCGGAAAGTCCTTACTTCGTACTCGTCTCAGCGTGATCTCTGACAATCAAGGCAACATCTTTGCCCTGCTGAACCAGAAGACGAAACACATGCCAACTTCGGCCTTCCTCATGCAGCTTATCGTCATGCTCCACTCGGCTGGAGTTCAATTGGCACCTTCTCATGAAGCGGGATTACAACCAATGGGCGGATGAACTCACTCATCCCCACTTCACGGGCTTTCGACCTGACCGTCAACTTCCAGTGAGCGAGGCTTTTTCCCATTTCAAATTTCTATGGGCCCTTCTGGATGACCAGACGATTGGCCCTAATTCCTTTGGATCCAATTCCAAACGTCGTAAGACCGACACATAGGCCACCCAAGGTCCACTGGAGCCTGGTGGTCGCGGCTGACTTTTTGTTAACAGTTGTGAATTTCACACCTGAACCCGTTTTTTTGGACTCCTTTTGCATGAGCTGATAGCTCCGGCGGGTTGGGTGGATAAGATGTGTGATACCACCACTGATCTTTTGGGGTTTCAGTGTGAAACCGGACGTTTGTTTGTGATGCAATGGCATCAGACAGAAACCCAGCCGCACAGGCCAACTGCATAGCAAAAGAGGGAACACGCTGATGCAGTTGCCTGTTTTCCGTTTGACATTTTCAATTCTATTCGGGAACACAATGATATCAAAATTCCCACCCCCATGGAACTTCGAATTGATAGAATGTCCATGCAGGAAAGACGTTATCGAAATTGCCACCCCCATGGAATTTCAAGTTGACTTGAACTGTTCACAAGGGTAATATGATATCAAAATTCCCACCCCCATGGAACTTCAAATTGACTTGGACTGCCCGCGAGGATAAGATGATATCAAAATTCCCGCCCCCATGGAAGTTCAAATTCATATTGAATATCCATACAGGAAAGATATTATCAAAATTCCCACCCCCATGGAACTTCAAATTGACTTGGAGTGTCCACGCGGGGAAAATCTATTTGCAATCTGCGTGTTTTTGTTTCCGAATCTTAGTTTCCGAATCCGCGTGTCTTTGTTTCCGAATCTCAGTTTCCGAATATGCGGTTTTAATTTCCGACTCTTAGTTTCCGAATCCGCGTGTGTGTTAGTTTCCGAATCCGCGGTTTTAGTTTCCGAATCCGCGCTTGACCGTGCCAGGATGGTCATGGCCACGGTGGACATGGACACAGCGACCACGGCCACAGCCATGGCAATGGTCATGGTCACGGCCATGACGGTCATGACGGTCATGATGACCACAGCGGCCACGGCGGCCACGGCGGCCACGACGACCACGGCGGTGATGGTCATGGACATGCGCATGGCCAGGATGGATATCGGTCGGGCAGTGAGAGCGTTGCTTGTTCGCAGATGTGTTTGATGTGATAGTGTTGTCTCATGGTCCAAACATGGGTGACGGAAAAACGTATTTTGGGTATGCTATACCTATTTCTAGCTCATACTGTCGAGGCTTTTGAATGTTGGTTTAATGAGTTTAATGGATCCGGAATCGTGCAAAAGACTTAGACTTTTACCTGGAAAGAAAGTCATCAGATGACATGGAAGCTATTTGTGGGTCCTGGATCTCTCAAATAGAAGCGAGCGAAAGTGATTGATCAAGTCCTGACTGGGTGGAGCATCAATCCATCAAGCTTTGCCGCTTTTCCCATTTTTGCAGCATGTTCAAGTGGTTCAGCGTGTGGTAGTTTAGTGCGGTTTTATCTTCCAAGTGCCTTGCTTCTGTACATCCCATTCTCATCATGTTGTAGGCTAAATCTGCCGACAATGAAGCCCGGTTGAAGAAGGCAGTAATGTGGGCGCTGCTGCTTGGCCTTAATTCTTTGGAAGGGCTGCCAGCACTGGCTCAAGATCCACTAAGTGAACCACAGCGCCTTTGTGATTAGGGGTGGTAAAAAATCTTCGGAGAAGCCTGTGATTTCTTCACCCAACAGTTTGTTCCCAAAACTGCAGGTGGTTCATTTTTGATATTGGATATAAAGAATCAATAAAATATCATATATTACAAATAATACATAATATATGCTATATAACACATAAATAATTGAAAATATATAATATATAATATGCAAAATATTATTCATTATATTTCATATATAATAATTCAGATATAGTATAAAATAAATAATTTGTAATATATAGTATTAAATATATACTGTATAATATATAAAATATAATAAATAATATGTAATAGATACTATAAAATATAGAATTTATAAAATACCAGTAGTACCGCACAAGACGGTGGCAGAAGCTTCAAAAATAGGAAACCTATAAGAGAGGTTGGTTGTTGTGAATCACAGATGGCAGAGCGAAGCCACTGATGGACCGAAAGGTGGTTGAGGTCTCCTTCTCTTTCTCTCTCTTTCTCTCTCTTTCTCTCTCTTTCCCTCTCTTTCTCTCTCTTTCTCTCTCTTTCTCTCTCTTTCTCTCTCTTTCTCTGAATATCTACCTACCTGCCTACCTGCCTACCTATCTATCCATCTATCTGTCTATCTGTCTGCCTGTCTGTCTCTCTGCCTCTCTATCTATCTATCTATCTGTCTATCTATCTATCTATCTATCTGTCTATCTGTCTATCTGTCTATCTGTCTATCTATCTATCTATCTACCGATCTATCTATCTATCTATCTATCTGTCGATCTATCTATCTATCTACCTCTCTACCTCTCTTTCTATCTGTCTATCTATCTATCTATCTATCTGCCTATCTATCTATCTATCTGTCTATCTATCTGTCTATCTATCTATCTATCTACCTATCTATCTATCTATCTATCCATCTATAAATAAAGCAATCTATCTATCCCATCTGTCTATCTAACTGTGTATCTAGCTATCTAGCTATCTAGCTATGTAGCTATGCAGCTATCTATCTATCTATCTACCTATCTATCTATCTATCTATCTAGCCATCTAGCTATCTATCTACCTATCTACCTATCTATCTATCTATCTACCTATCTATCTATCTACCTATCTATCTCTCAAACTATCTATCTATCTATCTATCTACCTATCTATGTTATCTATGTTATCTATGTTATCTATGTTATCTATGTTATCTATGTTATCTATGTTATCTATGTTATCTATGTTATCTATGTTATCTATGTTATCTATGTTATCTATGTTATCTATCTTATCTATCTTATCTATCTTATCTATCTTAGCTATCTTATCTATCTAATCTATCTAATCTAGCTAGTCTATCTAATCAATCTAATCTATCTAATCTATCTAATCTATCTAATCTATCTAACCTATCTAGACTATCTAATCTATCTAGCCTATCCAATCTATCTAGCCAATCTAATCTATCTAATCTATCGAATTTATCGAATCTATCTAACCTATCTGACCAATCTAATCTGCCTAATCTATCTAATCTATCTAATCTATCTAATGTATCTAATCTATCTAATCTATCTAATCTATCTAACCTACCTAATCTATCTAATCTATCTAATCTATCTAACATATCTAGTCTATCTAATCTTTCTAATCTATCTAATCTATCTAATCTATCTAATCTACCTAATCTATCTATTCTATCTAATCTATCTAACCTATCTAATCTATCTAACCTACCTAATCTATCTAATCTATCTAATCTATCTAACCTACCTAATCTATCTAATCTATCTAATCTATCTAACATATCTAGTCTATCTAATCTTTCTAATCTATCTAATCTATCTAATCTATCTAATCTATCTAATCTATCTATTCTATCTAATCTATCTAATCTATCTAATCTATCTAACCTACCTAATCTATCTAATCTATCTAATCTATCTAACATATCTAGTCTATCTAATCTATCTAATCTATCTAATCGATCTAATCTATCTAATCGATCTAATCTATCTAATCGATCTAATCTATCTAATCTAGCTAGTCTATCTAATCTATCTAATCTATCTAATCTATCTAATCTATCTGTCTATCTTATCTATCTTATCTTTCTGTCTATCTGTCTATCTGTCTATCTATCTATCTATCTATCCATCCATCTATCTATGTAATCTATCTATCTAATCTATCTATCTATCTATGTATGTATCTCTCGGTCTCTCTGTCTGTCTATCTATCTACCTGTCTATCTGCAAGCTTGAAAACCTTGCTATTCTACGAGACTTCTTCATTTTTCCAAGTTGACAACATCAAAAACGCAGCAGTTCTGTGAGACTTCCTCATTTTCTGAAGTTGACAACATCAAAAACGAAGCAATTCTGGGAGACCTCCTCATTTTTTGAAGTTGACCACATCAAAAACGAAGCAATTCTGGGAGACCTCCTCATTTTTCCAAGTTGACAACATCACAAACGAAGCAGTTCTGTGAGACTTCTTCAATTTTTCAACTTGACAACATCAAAAACAAAGCAATTCTGCGAGACTTCCTTCAAAAATGGAAAGTTGAGTGCAGAGCTAACAGCTTCGTACCAATGCGTTTTGCGATTTTTCCAGTCCACTTGTCGAAAGTATTGCGCCCGCCACGAAAAAGTGATGCCAGGTCATACGAAGTGCTGCACCTGTCACGCAAAATCATCTCAGCAAACCTGAAGATCTGATGCTGCTTCATGCAACCCTTCTCAGGAAATCAGCGCCCTCACCTTCTAACAGCTCCGATGAAGATGTCTCTTGTACTGCGCCTGCCACGGAAAATGCATCTTTGCAGATCCTCTTCAAATGTCCCACGCCTGCCATCGCTTTTGGAAATGCTACAAATCCCTCACGTTTTGCTCGCTTTTGACAAGGTGCACAATCCCTTGCGCTTGCCACGCGAAAGCACATCTGAACGTCCAAAAGTGCTCCGTACCCATCAGTTTTCTGCACTTTTGAAATGTGCTTCCCGCCACAACGGCGTGCACTTTTTCGACATCTCAACTTCCAAAAGTGGTCCGAGAATGGTGTGTTTTGTACATTTTGACTTCGAAATGTGCTTCGCGCCACAACGGCGTGCACTTTTTCGACATCCGAACCTCCAAAAGTGGTCGCGAACATGGGGTGCTTTGTACATTTTGACTTGGAATGTGCTTCGCGCCACAACGGCGTGCACTTTTTCGACATCGCAACTTCCAAAAGTGGTCCGAACCCCTGGTGTTTTGTACATTTTGACTTGGAAATGTGCTTCGCGCAACAACGGCGTGCACTTTTTCGACATCTCAACTTCCAAAAGTGGTCCGAGAATGGTGTGTTTTGTACATTTTGACTTGGAAATGTGCTTCGCGCCACAACGGCGTGCACTTTTTGATCTCTCATCTGGCATCTGGCCAGCTGGCCCCGCACCCGCCGCTTTAGCGAGCCTACTTTTCAACCCTCCAGAGCCACAACTCATTGGAAAAACAAAGTGTCTCGCGACTTTCCTACCTTTTCGCGCACCTGGATCTTCTTTCTTCCGAGACTTTCTCTTCACTGATCTGTTCTCTTCTACTCTTCTCTTCCCTCTGCCTCTTCCCATCTCTGCTTTTCATCTGTCCATATTGTCGGAAGTTTGACTTCTAAACTTCCTTCGATAATATGAAAAACTATGCATAATTAATTTTTTAAATATAATAAATATATAATATAAAATATAAGATTTTGTAATATATATATATACTAAACATATAATATATAATAAATATGATTTGAAATATTATAAATAATATTTAATATGCAATACAATATATATATATAAAATATAATATACAATACAAGATATATAATATAACATACAATACAATATATATATATACAATATAATATGATAATGTATATATATAATTATATGCATTTACAATATATATAAAATACAACGTATATATATAATTTTATGCATATATATATATATTACACTATATATATATGACAATGTGTATATTGCAATATATATATAATGTATATATAATATATCTACATATATTTATATACATTTAATGATATATATATATACTATATCCAATATATATATGATTATATATAATTTGTATATATATATATACATATACATAATATGTATATATATGTATAGATAATATATATATATATGTATAGATAATATATATATAATTATATTTATACATATACAAACATACATATATCTATATATTTGTATCTTTATATCTCCATATGTCTATATCCAATATCCATATCTTATCCATATCTATATCTATATCTGTATGCATATCCAGATATTTTGGCCAGCTGCCAACAACTTTTCAAACCCTGAGGTTGTTCATGATTGTGGAGATTGTCGGAGGACTGGCTGTGACCTGGTGGCATTTCCAGTCAAAACGAGTTCGCTTCTTTTTTGCTTCGAAGCGAGGCCAATTCACTGGCCATCATCACGGATGCCGTTGCTCGGCTGGAGTCCTCACCTAGTGCATGACCATGTGGATCCCGTTCTGTGCATTTGGGATTTCCCCTTCCAAAAAAATGATGCCGGTAGACAAAGGCTTCGTTTTTTGGTTTTGGAAACAAGATCAGTTGTAGTTGTAGTGCAAAAAACAACCTTTGGAAACCAGAACTCAAGTCTGCTAGTGGCAAAACTTTCAACTGTTGCGAGGAACCAATGTGGTGCCGAAAATGATGTGAGTTTTTATTGCTGTTTTGTGGCATGCGAAGGCGCACATGCTCTCGGATGTGGGTGGCTTCATCGTTTCCTTGGTTGCACTGCAACTCTCCCAGATGGAAGCGACACAGGAATATACCTATGGTTTCAAACAGGTGGGGATTTTGGTCACCGGGCTCGGTTGATGAGGATCATCCGTTGAGGATTAACACCCCTTACTAAACTATCACTAGAGTCGCCAGAGGGTAAGTCCTTAATTTTGGGTCGCCATAGCCAGTGAATGCCAGTGAATCATTGGAGACGTGCAGGCTGAAGTGCTTGGTGCGTTGCTCTCTGTGGCCATCGTATGGGCACTCACGGCAGTCCTGCTTTGGGAGGCCAGGCTTTAAGGGCCCTCAGGGTGCCTTGGTTTTCACATCAAAATGGTAGTTCTGGATGTTGGAAAAATATCAGAGGTCTTGACCCGTCCCCACTGCTACGAATTTTCCAGGTCCCTCTTCATGTCTTGAGAGAAACTTCAGGATTTCGGGAACTGTGGTTTTTCAGCCACTGTCGGCTGATTGTCGGAGGTTTCAACCTATCCAATATGGGGGTTTCCTAAGTCATAGGGCTACCCCTAGTTATCATCAATTTATAGATGGTTTTTCCATGAAATAAACCATCCAGCTATTGGGGTACCCCCATGGAAACCTCCATTTTTTGATTTTTCTCGGATGATTCGGATGATCCATCACGGGAATCCCTATAAACCAACCTGTAGAATGGAGTGACTGTTGTTGCGCTAGGCCGTACCACGTTTCATTGAGTGCCGCGGCTGGAATGGATGGACCAGATATGCGCGGCTGTGCCCACTCCAAGCGAGGTAAGCATCAAGTGGAATGGGTTTAATAGGGTACCTCTATACAAAATGTAATATTTTATGATGGTTTACGAGAATTTCCTGATTGAAATATACGACATGTATGAAAATTGCCCGTTTTTTGGGCAGGTCAATCTTGGGATGTCCAAGTTACCATGAGGATACACGAATTTCTTTGAAGGTGGAAAGCGTGCCAAGTGCCGAGCAGCAAATGCAGACGATTTTTTTGTCCTTTTTTCCACTTTGGCATTTGATTGAGCCTAAGGCCCAGACCAATTGATGGCAGATTGATGCATGGAACTCAGCGTTGAGCGATAGCTTGCGTGAGTTGTTCTTACTTGACTTTACTTTCATCTCTTGTATTGTTGATAGCTGCAAAGCCAGATTGAGCCAAACGAAGTGATTGAGCCAATCTTGTTTCTCTCAGCGCCGTGCTTCGAGGTTTTTCATCAGTCTTTTCGGCTTTGCTGTCAATCTAGTTCTGATGCAGGCCATTTGGCAATGTTGGGCTGTCAGGACGTCATTCAAAGTCCTGTTCATTCTAAGTAGAGGCCAGGTATTTGAGATTCTGGACCAGCTGATGGTTTGCAGCACAAGCTCGCCACCAAACTTAGTCCATGTTTGGAATCGACCCAAGAAATGCGAAGTACGAAAGCTACCCTTCCCGTTTGTGTCAGGACAACTGCGATGCACTCAACTATGTTCAACAAACCTTGCATTATTTATTTTCGAGCAAACTTTGCAGTGTGGTGACAGTATCACTCTTTAACATTGCTGGTCAGGTGCTGGGCCATGGTCACTCGTACCCTTGCTGCAGTTGGGAAGCGCCCCAGGGCACATGGCAACCCTCCGAATCGCACATTCCGTGCCAGTCTCCGTTTGCAAGATGAAGACTTCAATTTACTATATAGCAAATTTAGAAAGAGACCTTGTGTTCTTGTCGATGTTTGACCTCTGAGGTGTATGAACTTTAGGAGGAAGTGGCATGCAGTCATTTCCAAGCTTCGTAAGAATCAACAAAACTTGACAAAACAACTCTGATGCCTGTGGCAGATGAATGAATCAAGACTTGGCCCCCAACTGCCTGATTTGACCACCAGCAGCATCAGCATGTGAGCTGGTAGGCATGGTGGTGATGACCATGGGCATTCGCATGGCGAGGACGACAATGTTGCTGTTCAAGCTGCGCTTGCTCATGTAATTGGCGACATAGCAGCTTGGATTGCAGCTGGATGATCTCGACAACCAGTGACTTCTATTTCCTGGCCTTATCATGTACAGAAGCAACTTGGGAACGGTTTTCAAATGCTTGGAGTTTTTCCTCTTTTCAACTTCGTCTCTGATTGCCATGATTGGAGAGCATGACTTTCTGAAGACTCCAAACGTCAGACAGATTGATAGACCGATCAAAGTCTCAACCAAAACCCTATCCGCAGGTACAATCTTTGGGCGTTTGCGTTGCAGCACTCTGCATATGGCTTCAGCCGTTGGATGTGGGCACCGTCTGGACCTCTAGAGGGGAGGCCGGAGGGTGAAAGAGGGTGAAAGCTGTGACAGGAGAAACTGTGGTCCCTTGGGCTTTCACTCATCAACCCTGCAGGTCAGCAAGTGGAACTATGCCCCTTGACTGCAGAAACTGGAAGTACCTGGAAGTCACAGACTCTGGTTGCATATCATGGATGTTCATGGATGTTGTGTATGAAACAGGACATTGGCCATACTGTATTGCGTGTAGAGCTCACTAAAACGTGGTTCTTGAAAGAGGTTCCCAAATTTGTGTCATGCATGAATGAAGGATTTTGCATTCTGCCTGTAGGAGACGGTCAACGACCACTGGTAAAAGCAAAGCGGAATCAACTTTCATGGATTAGCAATAGACGATTGATGTCGATGTTTCGCAAGTGTTTTGACAACAATAACCTTTGCATCTTTGCTAAGCAAGACTGACTCAAATCCATAAAGGTTGATACGCGACAAGATATGAGTCTTTATTGAGTCTTTATTGAGTGTCAGTTTCACAGTTTGATTTTCTGGTGTTTCACAGCTCCCCAAATGCGATCGCAGCATTGCACCAGGCGGATCCCATGTGCACCTGCCGCTTCAGATGCATCCTTTAGCGGCACATTCGTGTCAGTCATGGATTCGGGATAAATGTTGTCAGCTTTTCAGGGAATCATTACAGGATGGAGTCACTAAAGGCTGGTTGGTGAATAATTAAACATCTTTAATATCTTTAATAACCATTGGCAATGACCATTGCTTAATGACCATTAGCCAAGATGGTTTTGACTTGTTGGGGGACATAGCCAGACCTCTCTGTGGCTGGACTTGGATGTTTGAAGCCCTTAGATTGGTATTGGCCTAGGCCCTAGGTTCCGAGAGGATTCGAATAGCGAGGAAGAAATGTGGATCTTGCGAGATGATTAAAGACAATACTAAGATTCTAAACTTGAAGTCCATCGAAGTCTAGATTCTAAGATGGGGGAAACAAAACCATGAAAGACTGAGGCCTGTTTGGCGTGATTGTGCTGCACACTACAAAAGCAACCATGGTGACTTGGGCACTGGAAATCCCGTCGATACCATGCGAAAACCAAGCTGTTCATTGATGGAAGCAGAAAAGCAGTCATGAACTTGGCAAATGTGAAACTTGTCTTGAAACTTGTCTTTGCTATCCAGACAGTGACGTATGAGGGATTCCTAAAATGCAGGTAGCCATGGGTAGCCCCAAATCATCCATTTTTGTTTCGGATTTTCCATGAAGCAAAGCATCCGGCGATTGGGGTACCCCCATGACTATGGAACCCCAGGTGAGAACCACGGAGACGTTGATGGGCAAGGCTCCCTCCAGGATTGATCAGAGCCTTGCACCAAAACGGGGGCCCCGTGTAGCGCAAAGCACTGGATGGATGCCAAGCCTATCCAAGCCATGTATTTATTGTAAAGGACAACAAATAGTGACAATATATATATGTATACTATAGTATATGTTTGCGCGTATATATATATACAATAGAAGATAATATAATAATATAATATAATATAATATGATATAATATAATATAATATAATATAATAGAATATAATATTATATAATATAATATAATATATAATATAATATAATGTAGTATAATATAATATAACATAATATAATATAATATAATGTAGTATAATATAATATAATATAATATGATATAATATAATATCACATAATATTATAATATAATATGATATGATATGATATGATATGTATGTATATATAATATAATATAATATGATATGATATGATATAATATGATATAATATAAGATAATAAAATGTATATAAGATAATTTAATGCCGCTTGGTGCGAAGAGATTAACGCATGACCACTGTCCCGGATCCCAAGGAACAAGTTGGCCAGCGACATTGAGAAGATTCCGAATGTGGCTTGTCATGACTCGAGGATCGATGAGTGTACGAATTGAACAAACGATGTTTCAATATCAGTCAATCACCTGCGAAAGCTTTGCCAAACCTTTTATGGTGAATGTGAGGGTTCTTTCTTGCAGAGTGCCTACGTTTTGTTCCATGAAATGAATCGAAGTTTCTCACTGCCAGCAGCTTTCCAGGTTGTTTCTATTCATGACCTTCACGTTTGGTGCATGGGATCTGCGGATGTCTTCACCACTGCCCACATTGTCGTTGCTTGGAAGATGGAACTGCCCTTGACTCACCTGTCTTGCGCCAAACAAAACTATACCAGTAGTTTTTTTGGTCAGTGGACTAGCCAGAACTGAAAGATCCTCAACCGCAACGACCACAGCTGGTTGTGATTGATCGCGACCATTTCCAAAAAAATCAGTTGGCAATTTCGGCCATATTAGAATCGCATTGATTGACGCGTATATCAGGGATCATTTGGATTCATTTGGCAAACAAAAAGCTGTCAAAACAATGAGTATAACTACCCACTATGAGCTCTATCATCCCATCATGTCATCAATCCCTTTGATAAGTGGCCATGTGACCCATGTTGGAGTTTCCTGAAAATGCAGGACCCCAAGTTATCGTCCAAAGCGGTGAAAATTCTTCAATGGGGAAACCAATCGTGAAAAGGGGTACCCCCAATTTCAGAAACACCATATTAATCCATCATCAACCATCATCAACCATCATCAACCATCATCAACCATCATCAACCATTAGAATATTATCCATTACTAATCCATTATTAACCATTCTTCATTGGTATCCATGAATCATTGTGGAACATTATTATATAACCGTTATACCGGTTGTAGTTTTGATATGTGATATATTATTCTCATTACCATGATATGATAACCACGATTTTTTCACCCAATTCGGTGACCAAGTTTTCCGAGGTCAGCAAGCACGAACATCAGGCCGCTGCTTTGCGTAAAGCGATCCAGGCAGCACGTAACGCGGGCGTTGGACATGTGACCTTTCAAATGGAGGCCGGGCACCGGGGGATCGGTGACCAAAAATTGGAGACCCGAAACAAAAACCATGAAGGCTAGATAAGGCTGGTTTTCACCTTCCCTGGCCACTGCGTTTTTTTGAAACTTGGAAAGTCAGGCACTTAGTATTGGGGGCTCTCAAAATCATCTCGCCATTCGTGAAGGTCTTTGGCGAAATGCTGGAGACACATTGTGGAGGCTGGGTCCTGTTTTCCAACAGCAAAAATGCCAAATGCAGGGAATGCCCTTGAAATCGGCACGAAGGGGGGTGACACAGAATCTATCTCGGATTTTCTTGAGTCTCCAACTTTACGTACTCATCCATCTTCCGAGTCTTTGAGTGTGTTTTTCCAAGCACTGATTCTAGGTATTTTTTTATGTGAAGCGACCGTTGTATCCGACTGGGGGAACTTGAATTCATTACCGTTCGGATTCCGTGGAGGCTGCGAGAGCCCCAAACCTCTGCCGAATGGTCATGGCTCTGGCCATGCAGAGGAAAGCCATGGTCACTCCCATGGCGCCAAGGAAGCGCATGGTCACTCCGGTCATGCAAGTGATAGCCATGGCCACTCCCATGGTCATGCACATTAGCTGCTTCACTAGCTGCATGGTTTCAGTTCCAGCTGAGAGACGGTAGTGATTTCTTTAGAGACAAACAAGTGATAAAGAACCTTGGCATACAGGAGCTATTAACAGTTCCTTGTTCAAGTGAGCAACATAGGCAGGCCAGACAACCTTTCGTTTCCGCCCAATGATTACAGATGGATCAGATCGGGTCCAGCAGCGGGACCCAGTTGCGTTAGTTTCTTCAGATCATCGTTTCTCCTTGTGGGCAAGATGATACTCGGCATTGCCGACTCGGCATGTGATCAAAGGTTGCGTGCACACCCCGAGTTCTTCCACTTAACTCACAGTGGTAGGGACACCACTCAGTCACTTAGTCAGACTTAATCAGACTTAGTCAGACGTAGTCAGACTTAGCCACACTGTTTGCCATGGCTAAACTCCACTGCAACTTGCGAAAGACGTGGGTGGCTGGTGGAAGAGGGGGCAGAGGGGTTTGATTCACCTTCTGCTAAGCCTGGAGCGGACTGACATGTGCAGAGCCTGCGCGTTGCACAAGATGTGACGCGAAAATGACTCGTGTGGGGCAATCTGTGCAGGGCAGCAAAACATGGATTTTCAATAGCAGAAAAAAGCCTGCACACATCGATTGACATCCACGAACTGATCATCACTGGGCGAGAATGGATGAGGTTTGCAGCAATGCGCATAGCTTCCAAGAGACAGTAGAGTTGACCCAAACGACATGGCGCAAGATGCGGAGACAGCATGGTGGAGTCAGAATTGGGTACAGAAATGGGATGGGACAATCCCAAAAAACGACCAGTCCAGAATTTGGGTGATTTTCTTTTGGCCTCAGATTTCCATCTATCATTTTCCCTATTTTTTTCATCTATTTTTTCATGATTTCGATTTAAATGATTTCCCAAAAAATGGTGACATCCCAAGCATCAGATGTTGGCATTGCCAAGTTACCTCGTTTCGGTTTTGGCTCAGCGCGGAGCCACCGGTGGCAATTACCGCGCCACGTGTTGTGGCTCGGTCGGGGATTCACGTGGTGGATTTCGAAGATCCAAACGACAGGGTGGTTGGGTCGTTTAACCATGTTGAACCAGTAGAGTCACTTTAACTGAAATGGCGAGATAAATGCAAAGCCTACCCAGGATTAAATTTCAGGCCTATAAATGGGATTTGCCATCAAATTCCAAAGCTCGGAATGGCAGCTTTGTGCTTCAGTTTTGATGTCCCATTCAAGGATTAATGTCCGAATGAACCGTATGAAGGAACTATGATACGCATAAGAGCAAGTGCGTAACTGTGTACTGAATTGGAATGGCAGTGCAGGGGCTTGTTGTCGATGATGGCATCTTGATGCCCCTTTTGTATTTTCTTGGTGTAAATATTCATTCGCACTGGTGCAGTTTTTGTCAGATTCAGGGTGTGTGCCTTACGCTGTCCTAATCGACGATCTGAAAATCAACAGCTGGATTGCTGGATCCCAATCAGGTTACTTCAGGTCTGTGACCATCTGTGACCCCTTTTGATTGTTGAAGTTTTACTGAGGATGGCAATGCTTCAGCCACTCCAGCGGGTGAGGGATGGGGTCCTAGACTTAGCTTCAGTGGACTGGAGCTGAACTGTTGTAAATTTGAAGCCGCCCCAACTGGCAGATCACGAAAGGTAGCTCCAGTGGTGCTACCTTGAGTTTAGCTTTACGAAGTAAAGGGGAGGCTTGCCAGCCCAGTTACCTGATTATTCAAGTAATTCCTCCACGAACCCCAAGAGCAGACCCCAAACACACTATTTTACATGGAAAAAGTACTTCTTGCAACATGCTGAAAACTCCGTAAATACGAGTGTTTTTGCTAGGCACTGGCCAAAAAACACTGTAAATACCGTGATTTTTGTTACCAGAGGCAAAAAAACATCGTAAATACCGTGTTTTTTGGGCTTCCGAGGCGGAAAAAAAAGAGAGTATTTACGGTGTTTTTTCATCCTCCGAGAGTAGCAGCGGCAACAACAACAACAACAACAACAACAAGAACAACAACAACAACAACAACAAGAACAACAACAACAACAACAACCCAAAAAAAAAACATCGAACTTTATTATCAGAGTGTTGCCGGCCGGACCTCAACCACAAAGAATCTCCGAAGATATACCAGATAGAATGCCAGAAAGACTTGCAGAAAATATAATATGAGATAAAATGCGAATGCCAGATATCATGTCAGACAATATGTCAAACAAATGTCACTTGGTGGTGATCACTCGAAGAAAGTAATTGGTTCCGAAGGCTTTCAAAAATTGACTTCAGACAGCCAAAATGACGCCTTGTGGGGCCCTGCGCGCATCATCGCCATCATCAACAGCGGTAACGACATCAAGCATTTGATCTTGGATTCTTTTGTTTCATTTTTGTTTGCGCTTTGGCTGTGGTGACGCATTTTGCACCGATACGTTTCTACAAACAGACGACGTTACGCACAGAAGCCTTTACACAGAGCAGCTTTTACGTGCCGATATTCTTACACAGAGAGGTTTGTGGACAAAAAAACATTTGTGCACAGACGCCTTTGCACACAGAGGTTTTACGCAAAAAAGGAAGAATTTACACACAGATGCTTTGTACAAAGATGCCTTTGCGCACATAAATAAAGGCACATAAGCGTTTTTACACACAGAACCTTTTCCACAGAGAAGCCTTTGCACGGAACAATTTTTACACATGTTTTTTCTACACAAAAAACATTTGACACAGAGAAACTTGTACACACAGACTGCACACAGAAGTTTTCACAGACCGACTTTTTTGCACGCAGAACTTTACCCAGAACAGTTTTTACACAGCAGAAACTTTTTCGCACAGAAACCTTTACGCACAATAAACATATGAGCAACCGTAAAAACCCCGGCAATACTAAATATGTATTCGACGGACATTGGTTTATGGAAATTGATGGAAATTGTTAAAAACACGAGGTAAGCGATAGGACCTTCCCAAATTAGCGATACCCCTTTTCAAGGTTATGTCATCATACTTCTCTAATATCCACATTAGCGATACCCAAATATCACATATTATTCATGGTTCATCACACACATATATATATAAATGCAGCAGCTTCCTGCAAGCGATACCCCCCAAGTTTACCATATATCATTATTGTACAAACGTGTGGTAAGCGATGGGACCTTCCCAAATTTGTGGATGTCTTTTCCGTGAACCTAGGGTTTTCACAATCGCTCATATGCACAACAGTTTTTGCAGACAGACGGTTTTTACACACAGAAAGTTCTCCGCACAGAAGTCTTACGCAAAGAAGGTTTTACGCACAACATTTTTTACATACAGATGCTTTTACACACAGATGTCTTTGCACAGACACAAATTGCACACAGAAACTTGTGCACACAGCACGCGTTTACACACACAGCCAACTTCTACACAGAGAGGCTTTGCTTCCTCTTCTTGATCACCTACCTTTCGTGTTCCCCCTCTCAAGTTTGTTTCAAGGAGAGGAGACTTTCCAGCCTGGTCTTGCTGTGCGTCTGCGTCTCAGTGGCGCCAGAAAAAGTTGGCTGTGGCAGTGGTGCATCACCATGATGAACTTGAGATACTTGGGCAAAGCGGCAAAGCTCCTGCTGTTCATATTGAGGCAGCTACGGCCCTGCTGAGCACGTCACGCTGGCCACCATTGCAAGGAGTTGAGGGCCCTGTCAACTGGGCACTGGTGCAGTTGAAGTTCTTCCCGTGCCTTTTTCGATATGGAGGTTTCCTAAAATAGGGGTACCCCCAAATCATCCATTTTAGTAGGGTTTTCCCTTATAAACCATCCATTTTGGGGTACCCATTTCAGGAAAACCCCATATGAACAGCCAGGTTTGGTGGCTCGAGCTTTGTGAATGGTGCCCCTCGAGGACAGTTGTCGCGGTTAAATTTTGCACCTGAATGGTTTCAAGCTCGTGCCAATGGCGCTCCAGGATGGGCTCCAGAATGTGAGTCAAAAATTGCACTCGGCCTAGTGTCTTTCAATCATGAGACATGCGCATGATTATACATATATATATATATACAATGTATATATATATATACAATATATATATATACAATATATATATACAATATATATACATATACAATATATATATATACAATATATATATACAATATATATATATACAATATATATATATACAATATATATATATACAATATATATACACAATATATATACAATATATATATATATAATATATATAATATATACAATATATATATATACAATATATATATATACAATATATATACAATATATATATACAATATATATATATATTATACAATATATATATACAATATATATATACAATATATAAAAAATATATACAATATATACACAATATATACACAATATATACACAATATATTCACAATATATACACAATATATACACAATATATACACAATATATACACAATATATACACAATATATACAATATATATATACACACAATATATACACAATATATACACAATATATACACAATATATTCACAATATATACACAATATATACACAATATATACACAATATATACAATATATATATATATACACGTATATATTCATATATGATTATATATATATATACGTATATATTCACATACAATTCTATATATATACATAATTATATCGTTCCACTCTGCCTTGAACTGTCTGCCGAGGCAATGGAAGCAAAAAAAAGGGAAACCTGGCCCATCAAACAGCGACAGCCGTGTCCTCAGTGTTCCCAGCTTCCATGAAGCATGGCGGAGGTTTCAACATGTGCTGCAACCCTGACGTCTCTCCATGCCGATCCCGCATATCCTTTGACATTCTCACTGCGCAGGGCTAGCGTTTTTTCCCCAACAGCGTAAGCTAATGGTGTCCTCAGCCCAGAAGGGCTCCGGCGTGCACTGGCGCAGGCGCCAGGTCAGGTTCCACGAGGTTCCGGAGAAGGTTCCGAAGGTTCCGGAGAAGGTCTGGGAGGCTTTGGTGCAGAGCCAGGTCAGGTTCAACAGGGTTCCGAAGAAGGTTCCGGAGAAGGTTCCAGGAAGTGTTGGTGCAAAGCCAAGTCAGGTTCAACAGGGTTCCGGAGAAGGTTCCGGAGAAGGGCTGGGAGGCTTTGGTGCAGCCAGGTCAGGTTCAACAGGGATCCGGAGAAGGTTCCGGGAAAGGTTGCGGAGAAGGTCTGGGAGGCTTTGGTGCAGAGCCAGGTCAGGGTTCCGGAGAAGGTTCCGGAGAAGGTTTCAAGAAGCCTTGGTGCAAAGCCAAGTCAGGTTCAACGGGTTCTGGAGAAGGTTGCAGAGAAGGTCCCGGAGAAGGTTTTGGGAATCTTTGGTGCAGGGCCAGGTCAGGTTCCAACAGGTTCAACAGGGTTTCCAGCGCTTGGCTTTGCAGCACGCCTCAGAAAGATTTGTAACAATAAAACATTGCGGCTGTTGGGGATACCGCCGAAGCTTATTCAACATTTTCCAACACAATAAACCCAAAACCCTAAAACCCTAAAAACCTAAACCCCAAATCCCCAAATCCTGAAACTTAAAGCCGAAATCGCTGCCTATAGCCAGTGTTTTCGTTCATCCTCTTGTGACAAGTATATGATACTGTCCGGGTGTGTTATATATATATATGGTCCCGTCCTCCGTCTCTCCACCCCCCCCCCCATGGGTTGGGTCCCCAGGTAGTAGCCCCAATTCCCTTCTATTTGCAAGCTATTGGCAGCATTTCTGAGGTCCAGCTTCGTATTTGCTAGGTCTTTGCAGCATTTCTGACTACCAGCCTCGCATTTACTAGGTACATGCTACCTTTTAGGCGACCTACGTAGCACACATACTCCTTCAAAGTACCTACGTGCTACCTATAGTCATACATACATGTGCTATGTATCTACTGTATCTACTTCCTGTTTACTACCTGTGTACTCTGACAACACTACCTCTGTTGAACATATACCGTACCTACCATACATGTCAATGATGCCATGCATACCATACCTATCATATCTATCATACATACCATACATACCATACATATGAAATGTAATTACCACACCTACCATACATACAATAGCATACATACAATAGCAAGCATACATGCCATACATACCATACCTACCTTAGATAGGACATATTCCATACCCATCATAGTAACCATACATACCATACAGACCATACATACTGTCATATCAAACATACCATATCCAACAGACTTACATACCATACCTACCATCCATACAATACCAACCACTCATGCCATACATACCATACCTACCATACATACCAAACATACCATACTTTCCAAACATGCCATACCAGACCGACCATACACACCATACATACCCACCATACCATACCACACCCCCACCACACCACAGGGGGGGAGGGGGACAGTGCCACACCCCCACCACACCACAGGGGGGAGGGGGAAGATCTCATATGGGACCAGTATATGGGACCCATCCCATATGGGGGGGGGAGGGGGGGGGTGGCAGGGCCTGGTGCATATATGGATATGAGGTACGGTCAAAACTCTGGTATACTACTTATGTAAAGGAGAGTTCTGTTGTGTCTGGAAAGTGCGCCACACACTGTAGCGATAGGCCCCCCCAAGAGCTTTAAAAACGATACGATGCCTATAATTGTGCATAATGTCCACATCTGAAGTTGTTTTGCACAAAGTTACGTATATGCAAGATGCAAAACGAGCGATACCCATAGCGATACCTTTGTGATAGGCCTTTGTTCAAAAAGCAGCCCCCAGACCACAAATAGACCATTTCCTCCTTTTCTTTTCCTTTGCGTTTCCTCTTTTCCTTTCCTTTTTCTTTTCTCTTGCTTTCCTCTTCCTTTCCTCTTCCGTTCCTTTTCTTTTCCCCTTCCTTTCCTTTCCCGTTCGTCTTCCGATCCTTTTCCTTCCCTCTTCATTTCCTTTTCTTTTCCTTTTCTGTTCCTCTTCCTTTCCTATTTTTTACAAAACCATGGATAGCGAAAGGACCCCCCAAAAACGAAACTCTTTTTTTTGGGAACTTAACGAATACAATGAATTTTGACAACGGCAAGAAACGTCCGGGTTGGGGCGAACATGTTTCAAAAACTGGACTTGAAACTAGCCCCTCACAGGTCTTTGCTCAAAGAAAGTCTTGACTTCGAGTCGGCATTCATAACTGTCTTTCGTAATATACTCGCTGTTGCCAAGTTGAAAGTCGCTTTCCAAAATTCTTGAGGAATCTTACCTGGCTACTTCAGGAATGCTGAGTACTTGGCGCGCCATCCGCGCCCTTCGATGACAGAGAAGGTGGGAAATCTGGGTGGATCAAAATCTCATGGATTCTCCATCTGGATGGGGAAGATGAACTTGCAATAGAACGTTGATGGGTTGGATGCATAACCATGACATTTGGGTCCAAGATACAATTTCTGGTTCAGAAGGCAGGCTTGGCACACGGGAAATTCAACAGATGACCATGACGGGTTTTCCTGATGTTTTGATTGGAATTTGTTTGAAGGAAAGTGTCCCAACATGGTTTATCAATGTTGATCATCATTTTCCCCCAGTCAAATGATGTAACATGATATCACCTGGCGATTTCGGATGATTTTTGTGGCATCCCCTGCCCGCCCCGCTGGGTTGGACGCTTCCGCGACGTTCCAGGAGCGCAAGAAGCGACTCTTGAAGATCCAACTCTTCCGCCGTCAGGTTCGGATGGTTCGGCGGAGGGATGGGAAGATATGGTACCCTCGTAGGCCATGTAGTTCCATGATTTGACAAGAAAAACATGGTAAAACGTGGTGATATTCCATAGCTATGTTAAATATTGTTAAATTATCAGGGATGGTCTCCGCAAATCGGTCGATCAACCCTTAGATTTATGGTTAAAACCATTGTGACATTGTAGATTGCAGATTTACCCTGAAAGCAAACCAGTGATGGCGGGGAAGTTGGCGCCAAAGCTGATTAGTTGGGAAGATTCAGAAAGTTTTGACACTTTTCTCCCTCCCTCTCTGCACTTTGGTGCTGGTTAGAAGTGGATTGAAGTCGGCATTCTTTCCAGTTGCTTCGAGGACTTGATGCTTTGCGAGCAGTTCCTCTACAATGCTTCCAAGCAGCACACATGTTGCACAGTGATGCGAAGTTGACTGAACCTAATTACTGTAATACTAATTGTATATACTGGTTGGTGGTTTGGAACATTTTTTATTTTCCATAATATATGGGATGGTTAAAACCACCAACCAGTATATTATATATAATTAGTCACTCAATCTACTCACATGTTTTCTAGATGCAGGTCCTCCAACTCACTGCATGAATCTCTATGATCAGAGGTTTTCAAGACGGGGAACAAAAATCTAAGCCCCACAGAAGAACAAACTAGCAGTCGCGGGTTCAAGTCTATGATCGCTTGGTCCCAAATACCTAACAAAAACATGTTTGGAACTTGGTTGAAACTCGAAACTGCAAGAACTGCAACAGTATTCTGAAGCAAGTTTTTTTACTGCTGATTTATGATGCTGATAATGCTGATAATGCAGATAGATGTATACCTTGGATGCCAAGGATCCTCGCGATGCCAGATGGCAATGGGACGTCGACAAGACGCGACAGTTCTTGGATGAGCAGGCTTCTTTTATGTTCCTTTCGTATTTTGACTTCTCTGTTTGCTAGCAGAATTTGAATGAATTTGATCTAACAAGCTAAAAGGAATTTCGATTGCATTAGGTCTCAATGTATAAACGATGTGGTTGCCTGGTGTCAAGCCACAGGGCCTCACGTTGTCAGCAGGCGACGTTGGTAGATGACGTGAAGAAGAAGAAACTCACGACCCGGGAAGACTTAGGCAATTCGAGGGAGCAGTGCTGTGATGAGGTGGAATCCTCCAGTGCTTCGCATAAAATGCCAGGGCTGACATAACTTTGAGGGGCTTGACCTTTTTCACAGCGTGCCGCAGTGTAGACCTGTCAGTCTGCTTGGGCCCTTTTTTAAACATCTTCGGTAGCCCCTGAAGCATTGGTGCAACCTGCTAAAACTGGAAAGCCACCGGTAGCCTGCCTCCAATTCTTCCGGCAGAGGCTTGCCTTTGCCACCCACCGACCTGAAACTGAGCGCCATGGCGAAGATCCAACGAAGCAGTGCGGCGCAAGCCTCGAAGTTGGGTGCTTAGATGTGCTTAGACTGGGGGTACATGGTACATGGCTGTGGAAAGTCTTGTTGCCTCGATGACTAGATTGGAACTTCCAGAAACTTCCAGAAATTGATTCAGAAATTGATTCCCTCCCCATTTCTTCCACAGCCCCCACAGAAAGTTCTTTCATGTTCTTTCTTTCTTTGTCCCAGGGAGAAGGAAAAACAGGAGAAGGAGAAGGAAAAGGGCAAAAAGCAGTCAGGCCAGGTGCAAAAGGGAAAGCAAGGGTCCGGAGCTCAGAACAGAGTGAGCAGATCATCTTAAAGTGTTCAAAGCATGGCATTATGACGACTATGACATAGTGACTATGACATTTTATGACATTTTATGACATTTGAATATGGCTTGAAGGTGCCAGCTTTCTATTGATCTGATACTGGAACTGCCGTTTCAATGAGATCATGCTGCTGAGCTGAAAAACTGTGAAGGGAGCCTGATTTGACCAACGTCGATCTGGACTTCATGAATTACAAGGCGGGTTTCAACCCTGCTCACGTGCTGAGGAGCGAAGCTTGAGTTACAATCTCTCACACACCTGTCCAATCATCATGCAATCATCATGGAGTGCTAGTGCTGGTTGTCTGAAACAAATCACATTTCTTTAATTTTTGGTCTATGTGTTCGCACATAGACTCTTGAGATATCCACCTGATCAAGGTTTGGAAGACTTCCTCCCCACTCCCCAAAGACATCGAACTTGATTTTTTCACCGGATTAAGATCGCCTTGGTTGGTTTAATTCAGGTGGGGGTGCCATGCCACCAGCAGATTTTATCTTTCTTTGGAGCCAACCCCCAATTGGCCAGACAGCATTTAGCAATGCCGCTCTTCAGCTTAACATCCTGCCCAGGGTCTGGTGATGACAAGGAGGCAGAAGGCCCAGTTCGCACAACGGGCACAACGGGCAGCAAAGCAACAGAAGAAGAAGAGGCATTGGGCGTCCGGGTGGTTGTTTCGGTTGTCAAAGTGTAGAGGACACGTAGGGTGAGGTGTGTGGAAACATCTCAAACGGGGGAAGAATACAGCATCTGGGGTTTCTGATGTTCGCTTCAAACTTGAGTATGTACTTTTTCCTCCACTTCTGTGGAAACAAGCAGATGGATGTCCGTGTTGGGACCATTGCATGGTGGGCGTGCAAGCATGAGAAAGACATGAATAAAAGTCTTCCAGGCTATGCAAAAGATGCTTCGAGCTTTCAGAGAAGGACCAGCCTTGCCCCATAATATAAAATACCCCGAAGAAACCCTGGGATTATAAGTATTGGATTTATTATTAAATGTATTATGTATTATGTACTTAATATAGTATTGGAATGTATTGGATTTATTCATCACTTGGGATCCTCTACTGCGGCTGAGCTGATTTGGCTGCACAGGTGATTTTGACCTCGACACCGGATACGATTCGCGCCCAGCCTTTGCTGGCAAAGCCCTAACCTGGAGCAGAAATCTGCGGGCTGTGATTCGGCCACTTTTCATGTTGATTCTAGATTCTGTTCATTGATTTCATTGCTTTTTATTGGATTTGATCAAGTCTTTGCTTTGTTGACCTGTGCTTTGATCCGTTACGGGTTTCACTCTACGAGGCTTTCCCAGTATCAATTTTACGCGTTGTGTCCAGTCATCAAAAAGGTTTCGCTGCAAAGCTGGTCACAGTGAGAGCAAAGGGAAGAGAATCTCATAGAATTTCATAGGTCCGAAGCGTGTGATCCACTGATTCATTTGGGGTTGCAAGAGCTGAAAGAACACACAGTATCCAGGTGCAGAGGATGTGTTGGACATGCTCCTTCAATGCCTGTGGCTACAGCACCCGCTGAATCATTGAAACATGCAGCTTCCCAGCATGAGAAGTTGAGCTTTAGGGACCATGATGGTCATCCTTTTGATACTCAGCCACACCCTGCCAGGTTTGACCAACCGTGCCCCTATTTAAAAATCAGCCTATCGGAGTCAATCCATGTCCCAACACTTACCTTTCTCCTTGGTTTTGTTGATATATATTATATATATATTATATAATATATATATATTATATTATATATATACAGCTAGATAGTACATACATTTTATCATTTTTTGGATCAACCATGACTTTGATGAGGGCAGGTACACTCCAAAATACCTCCAATCCTTCTGGACACCTCAACATCTCATGGCGCGCTGGCGCGCGCAGCGACGCTGTGCGAGCTGTGAGAGCTGCGGCTGCGGTGGCATCCAATGCAGTCCAATTCCACAGAGGCCTTACTGCAACTTTGGCACATGTGCAACTTGGCAGCTGGCATTTTTTGGAGCCAATGATAGGTGCAGTTTTGTTTGATGTTCAGTTATTGGATTATCGGCGATCATTTAGATCCCATGAATCAGTAGGGTCAATGATCATTTGGATCCGTTGATCATTGGCAATGGTGTTTGCATCCAGCAACAATTCAAACAATCCGCATAGCTACTATAGATCCACATCTTCTGCGTTGGCACGCCGGCGCTGTGATGGTTCTGGACCCAGGTGTCAAGTCACAGGGAAGCGATGTCGATGCAGAGAGCGAGGGTCCGGTGCTGCAATGGGAGACGCTGAGGATGCCTGGCTGGTGGCATTTCCTGCTGGATTTTCGGGAAAACTGCAATTCCTTCATGGGGATAAAAATATATAAACATCAAGATTCCGATGATTCCGGTCAGGTTCGTGGTTCCGATGTTGTTCTGATCTAGCCACTGCTCGATCGAAGCCATGGGGGTTTGCTCGATGGCCTCTGAGGAAAGTGATGGCAGGTCTCCCAATGGCTCGGCAGGATGCTTTGCGCAGCTTGGCAGAAGATGTTGAAAGGGGTGTGATCACAAGACATTGACCATTGGATCATTGGATCTTCTTTGACGTTTTCTGTATGTTTCATATGTTTAATAAACTTTGATGTAGATCTCTACCATTCTCCACCGTTCTTCATTTTGGTTTCTGCGAGTTGGGTGTGTCCAATAAAGGGTACCTCCAAACTTGATGGTTTGATGATGACTTTCCCCATCAGAATGGCCATATGTTGGGGGTGAATACCACATCTTCAGACAAATCCGTATCATGTTTATATTTTATATAGATTATAAATATATTATTACATAGATATTATGAACCACAAAACAATCCAATATATATATATATACTAGTATATATATATATATATATTGGTGGTTATTTGATGATATCCCCATTTTAATCATGGTATCCCCATGATCTCCCCCTAGAATGTTTGGTTTGTGCAATTTTTTCACATGGGGACATCCTGCGATTTGAGGCAGCACCCCGGATGAGATTCTACAGCGTCACTTCGGGGCTGCGCGGCACCGGCAGCGCTACGTTAACTTCACCCTCTTCTGGCGAGGAATGGAGGCGGAAAAAACCGCAGGAAAAACCATGCTTCCTGTTGCTTGAAGGGACATTTTAAGGTTGGAAACCCACATATTTGATAGGAGAAACGGTGCTTTGCGATTACTGTAATATTTTTTCCTTCAACCCAGACAGTATGGTGTTCAAGGGCCATCTTCTTGGTGTAGGAAACGTCAGCATTGGATGTCAATGGTGTTTGATTGGGTTTGCGAAGATGCACAGACACGACCCACAAGAACGCAACGCCTTAAAAATTAATCCTCCAAGGACTTTCATCTGTTTTCGTTGTGATGCAACCCTGTCATAGATGTCCTTTTCCGACCAGTTGGTTGCTAAATAGAAGGGTGATCCAAAGATCAGATGCATCCTGCATGAACTATACCGACCATACTCAGTTTTTGACAATTTTGAATGATTTGATCATAAATGCAACCAGCTCCACCAGCTCCTTTTGATGATTCTTTTCAAGGACATCATTGGTTTCTTTAAGAGCATCCTGCAGGCCATCCTGCAAAGCGCCGGCGTTTTCAACAACAGCGGCTTTTCCGAGGAGATGCTCCAGGCGAAAAGCCATCAACTTCCTTATATATCCTTATATATATATCACGAAAGGTAGCGTCAGCTACCTGAGTTCTCCGTGCTTCAGCACAAGCTTAGGGGGTATTGGGGGGCCAGCCCGTGGAATTCATGGAATTCTCGCCGTTATGTATTGGATATCAATTACAAGGGCCCCCCCCGAAAATGGTCATGGGTTCAATTCCCACGGGTGACGCGGTCACGGGCCCCCACATTAGAGGCACACTTTCCATGAGGGAGATGTCCCTGTAGTCCAGCATAATTGGTTTGCTTCAGCTTCAATAACAGTTGCTGCAAGGGGTTTTAAAAAGGGGTTTTAAATAAACCCCTTTTCGTGCATCATTTCACGCTGCACAAGACACCGTATCATGCAGTCATGCTCTGGATAAAATCATCTTAGACTGCGCAAAAAAGTTTTTGGTGTATCATCTTAGGGGCGCAACATTTTGACACCACTCCTCTCCCACTACACTACCTTTCGTCCGCCTCCGCCTGCTCTCAAGTAATATATGATATTGCCAGAATTCCCCAAGTTTTGTAGGTCATCGCCAGCTTGCGCCACTTCCGCGACCTCCTACTGGAGCTGGACGCGGCCACAACGCCAGTGGCAGAGCTGCGGCGCCTCTATGGGCGGCTGCAACAAATGGCGACCAGCGCGGTGGGGACGAAACGGGTGGAAACTGCTGGGCTTCTGTGGGTGATGTTGGTTTTGTAATAGATGGTTTTAGACGTTATAAGATTTGAAATAATATGAATATGTACTTGATGTACATATGTATGTGTAATATATATATATATTTACAAAGGTATTGTTTTGATTGGTTATTGTTATTGTTATATAATTACTGTCTATTAAATATGTGATTGTGCTTAGACAAGACCACACAGTACTGTTGTCCTTGTGCGAGGAAGATTTGTTGACGATTGGGGGGTGTTGATTGTAGATGAAAGTTCACGCAGGCATACACATCAACCATATTTTGAACTCTCAGACTCTCGGTCGCGCCTAGTTGCAGGTTGTCGCAAACTATTGGACATTGAAACTGCAAGAGCTTCATCAAGATGCACAGACGGTATCAGCTGATGAGATCGCCTTTGCCTTGCTGAAATGGCTGGAAGAACTCTTAGGATGCGATGCCTCCGAGGCCTCTGAGGACGGGACCGAGCTGGAAGCTCGAAGTCTTTGCATCTTTGGGTATCTTATGTTATCCTTGGGTATATCTTGTTATCTTGTGTCTATCTTGTGTCTATCTTGTGTCTCCAAACAATAACGGTTTGATCATGTTTGATCCCCTCTTCACATGTCATGACGAAGGTCCAGATGAGAGCACTTGCAAACATCTCCAGGATGAGTTCATGGATGAGCCAGAGCAAGAGCGGCAGCCAGAGGTTCGTTGAAGCAGCAAGAAATGTTGGGAGAGCTGGCTTGCAATTCTGTTTAGTTTAGAACACAACCGCTGCCTGTCGCATATCGGGGGTTTCCTCAAATGGGGACCCCCAAACCACGGGGTCGGTAGCCTGAAGTGTCGCAGCATCCGGAGGCTGCTGCATTGCGTCTTGCAACGCCCCAGGAGGCCAGTGGGTTTCTGATGTTGTAACTTATACTGTGGTGAAGCCGATAATGAAGTATCTTCAATATCACCATAAACGGGTGCTTTGTCTTTGGGTTTACCGCACTACACTTGATATTTCTAGGGCAATTTTGCAACCCTGCTGTGGATCTGATGTCTGGACGTGTAGGCGACTTCTTCAGGCGGGGTGCATGGGGCGCTGCTAGGACTGTGTGGGTCATGAGCTGAAGACTTCGAGGCATGTCTTTGAAAATAGACTTTGCTGCCGCATGTATTTCACCATTGTTAAACGTACTTTTTTCATGGGCGCCTTGCATGATTATAGTTTCTTGACATGCAAGTCAGACATGGTAGTGTGCCAAGAGCTCCAGCCGGGCCCTTTCCTGCTTGGCAGCTTTCATGCAGCAGTTTTTCCCTTGGCGGTGGTTTTTAGCTTTGCTGCCACCGTCCAAGTTTCTTCTTTTTCAACCGGCCTTGCGACCACACACCAACCACTGATGTGTCACCGCTGGAGAGCTATGTTTATTTCTAGTCGTTTCACTCGTGTATGCCATTGCAATGGAGGGTTTGGTGATTTTGTGCCACAGATTTTCACCTACAGGCTTTTTGTACAGGATCTAAATATTTTCTTCAAACGGGTGTCCGAGGGTCAAATCTGTGATACTGCCGCTTGGATCTTACATTGCTATGGGTTTGGGATTGTGGCGAGTCCATATTGCTCCAGCGTCACCAGCGTCCGCCTTTTTCGCGACAGGATGGTCTTGGCTGGGTCGAGCTTCCACCCCGGAGGCCTGGATGACTGGGTCCGCTGTCAGGGGGCTGTCCCTGATTTCGGAGCCAGGTGACCAGCTTTCGCCAGAGGATGTTAAGATTACTGCCGCGTGAAGCCACTGAAGCCCCTTGACCAGCACGGAAGGTAGTCTTATGTGGAGATCGGTCAATGGGCAAACAGCAAAAAGAAGCCTTGATGGACAATATTTAACGATTTTTGATGTATTTACAATTCGAGTTGTGTTTATCCAAGCTCAGCATTCCTTCTCACGTGTGTTCAACATTTGATGTGATTTGCGTGGATTTGAGCCATGTTGGCACCAAGGACCATGTATTGCTTCACTTTTACCGTGCAGTGCGTGCTCGGGCCCTGGCAATTTCTGTGGATGCGTTCATGTCACTGGCAAACCCAAAAACGGAAACTCGCCTCCCTTGGAGGATGCGCTTGATGCCGGGCAAATAGGCCATCTTTGCTGCCCACTTGGGTGCGACGGCCATGAGAGTGATCCCAGAACAAAATCAGATGTTGCACACACACACACAACCCACATACAACCCACATCCACGGTCAAAAACAGTTGCTCACAAGATTGAAAATACTTAGATTATGTTTGGACATTTTTGTGGTGGTTTAGTTCTATCCATCAAGTCCTGCGGAAAATTCAACACCCTGAACTGCAGGTAGAAAGCTATGCAGCTCATACTTGCTCATATGGAGGTTTCCTAAAATGGGGGGGTACCCCTCAATCATCAATTCACAGATGGATTTTCCATGAAATAAACTATCCAGCTATTGGGGTATTCCCATTTTATGGACAGCCCCATATGTGGTAGACACTGCGGCCAGGCAGTCCTTGCAGCCATGAACGTCTCCGAGTGACTCGGGTGGCTTGGATATGAATGGGTGATCGGATCATCGCTTTTCAAAAGCCTTGGTTGATGATTTGCTGGGGAGATTTTTCTACCCTTGCTGGGGGGATTAGAAGAATCCAATGATTTCCAGGAAAATGACGCCAAGGCCATCATAGGCCATCATGCCGCAGATCACCAACCCGAATTGGGCCGTTCAATTGATATGATTTTGGCGACAGCCATGATCACTTTTTGGAGTGACCGCCTCAAATCAACCAGGGCTAAAATCGTGGACCTTTCTCCACCTCTCTCTCTCTCTCTCTACGTGTCTATAGCTGGGAAGTAATACTTATGTGTATGTGGAGGTTTCCTAAAATAGGGCTCCCCCCAAATCATCCAACCTGATTTTCAGATTTTCCATGAAATAAACATAAATAAACCATCCAGCTATGGGGGTCCCTCCATTTCAGGAAACCATCGCTGAATTTCTGCAGGCTTCTCTCCGGGGTGGTGTCGCCCTGCTCGAGAGGGTCGCCCTGAGGGAGGTGCCGCTGAATTTCCCAGGGGTTTACAGCAAGAGATGGGGGATTGAATGGGGATTGAATGGGATGTTATACCAGGGAAGTAGTATATATATATATGTATATATGGTATAACAATCAATCCTAACATACTTAAAAATCCCAATTAATTCAACATCACTTCACTTTTTAGGCAAGTAGTACCAACATTGATTGGCACTGGGAGACCTGAAGATGAAGGACTTCATCCCATGGCCATTGAAACAAGGGAAAAAGGTGGTTACCCTTTGGTAAACTAACGTAACTATGGAAAATCACCTTTTTTAATGGGTAAATCCACTATAAATGGCCATTCTCAATAGCTATATTAAATTACCAGAGGGTAATCATGTTTACCAACATTTTCAGACACACATCAATGATTTTGAATGATGGGGACGCAACATATCATTTACCAGCACGAGGTGCGAGTAGCGTTCCGCCAGCTACAAAGGCTCTCCTTGCTGCCGCTTTGCTTTTTGAGTGTTGCAAGGTGCTGTGGTCAGACTTTTGCCAGATTTGCATATTCATCACAAGATGTCGCTATCGCTTCTCGCATTCCCTGATATTTTTGCGCAATTGGATCCGACTTCGGACTTCTGACAATGGCAGGGCTATGCGGAGACCCAGGCGCTAACCTGTAGAACGAGATCAGTGACCCAAGGAAGGGCAGAATGCCCCAACGTAGGACATTGAATTAACCATCAACAAGCGGCAAGCTGCTTCAATTCCTTTAAAAACACTGTTTGTATGCATCCTTTGGACAGTTCTCCTATTTTCAGTTGTGACTCAGAAGGTTGTGAAGACTTTCGTTGCTAAATCTGATTTCTGCTGCTGCTTCAGCCTGGTGCGTGGTGATTCCGCTATCGCACCACGGCCCAGCACACCTCGCTCCGAGGCTGGTTTGGTTTTCTTTCATGATCAGCCGGTGCTGTTAGAACACGATCAGCTGGCTTCGCCATGGTTTGCTTGGGGACCTTTGCCTTTGGATACCTTTGGATACCTTTGAAAGGCTTATCAAATTCAGCCCCAGGGAACTTTCGGGAAGGGGATGCCACAGCCAGGGATGTGGAATCATGGCCGGTCTGGTCTGCAGCCAAGCCCTGGCAGCTCAGGCCGGGGACGATGCTGACCAGGGAAAATGAGACTTCTCAGTGATTGGAGATGAGAGTTGAATGACCAGAATGAACTGGGTAAGTTTGGGCAACTATGGCTAGCTTATGGTAGCTGAAGAGCACATGTTGACATGTTGGAAGGTCTTGGACCGCCGTGCCAACCTGGCCCCCAGAGCTTTCTACATGGCCTGGCTGCTGGAAAGAGCCGAAGACTCTGTGAAGACAAAACGTGAGATCCAGGGGATTGGAAGATCGTTGCAGCTGAGTTTTGGTGACTTTGAAGCTTTCGATTCTTTTTTCTCCCCATGCTGAAAACCAGTGGGGATGAATCAATGCCTACGGGACCATTGCAAACCAACATACTGCAAACCCATATTTGGGGATGGTGAGGGCCCCCATTCACATGTATACAGTAATATATATATACACATTATATATAATGCAGATATATACAGATATCAATAGACATATAGACCTAGACACCATGTATCCGAACAAGGAAAATTGGAGATTTAGTATCTGGACTAGCCCATTTATTTGATATAAGGTATGGAGATCTTCAATACTATTTATAGTATATATATAATGTGTATATATTATATATTATATATATATATTATATTATATATTATATATTATATATTATATATTATATATTATATATTATATATTATATATTATATATTATATATTTTCTTTTTTTTTATCATATCGAGTATAATCCATTCATGTAACATAACCCATATAAACAAAACAATTACATCTAGCATCGGTGGTGAGGTGGTCATTTCTCCGAGGCCCGACGTCGTTGCTTGGTCTCCGTCCTGAGCATCCTCCGGCACGGCGCGCGGAAGAAGGTGTCCGTTGGGGGCCCCAAGGTGTTCGCCGTTGAGGCCGAGAATCACCAGAGTTGAGTGGAACATCATCCAACATCTGGATATCTTGGCAGGGTCTATGTTAATTTGGAGGATAAGCAATGAATTATAGAGGTTTCATGGGTTTTTCATGATCAAAGACATGAAATCTATTGAAACAAAACTGATAAATGTGGTTGATGTGGTTGATATACGGGCTTATTATCCTAACCGGTTTATTGGGGATTATGATTTTATGGTAGTTCATAAAATACCTGTTTAAATTGTAACAGTAGTCCATGGGATGGGATAGGGGTATTTTCACATAGCTCAGTTGAAGAGATCTTAGCCCTTTGCCTGATGCAAATCATTGGCTAGTTGGAAACAATATAGACTGATGTAGTATCACATAGATTTTGACATAGATTCTGACAGGTGATCTTTGATGTTCAACACCATGTTCCTCCTTGCAGTTCCAGTGACCACCCAGTGGTGGCTCCGGCCCAGGAGTCCCCGACCCGCCGATTGGTGAGGCCTCAGCCGGCTGTTCCTAAACAGGTGCCCTGGGCCATGGCGCTTGACATTCAAAGACATGGCTCCCCTTGAGAGCCCAAGCTCTGTCCAGTCCAGTGGAGGCATCTTCTTCCCCCAGTCGACTTCCGGGCAGGTCGCCGGATCCCAGATGGTTGGATGGGAAGTCACCTGGTGCTATGGATAGGAGTTGATAGAAGGTTGCAGAGTATTTACGCACTTTGATAGTTAGATGCTACCCTATCACTTTGATACTTATGATATGTTATGATAGATAGTATGCAGTTGATAGTTAGATAATTACCAGTTACCATGGTTTACACCCTTTCTGCTTGAAACAATTTCTGTCAAATTCTGAGGGGACTTTGACGTCTGGGGAGTGGACTGTGAAGTAACATTGTGCACGATGGCATGGACGTGTTTTGCAGGTCCAAGACACCACCGACAAAGACTGCAATCGTGTAAAAGCGCGAATGCGGTGCTGAAAATGACCGCTGCAAATTGGTGACTTCAAGGCGTCCAAAGCCTCCCACTTTTTTTTTGCATTTACAGACAAGTCTCTCATGCTATGCAGAAAAAGTCTTTGGGTGTTGATGCGAAACTAGGTGAAAAGTGCTTCGGAACTTGCTCACTTTTCAGAGGGGTCCATAGGCTGACCCAGGAACTTGAGAATATCCTTGATTGGCTTCAGCTTAATTAGATCAGAGCGCAAATGAACTGATGGAACTCAGGAGGGGAAAAAAAGCGCTAGACAAATCATGACAAACCCACAAACAAATTCAAACAAACCCATAAGACCACACAGTAGCTGATCCAAAGACCACACAGTACCTCCCAAACCATCACATCGTATGAAGCGAACGAGAACCATTTCGAACGTAAAGTCTGACTTCGATCATGGAGGCGAGCAGAGACCCAGGGCGCGATCCGCGATCGTTATTGAGTTGTGCCAGATGCTCAATTCTTGCGGATAAACAGCTGACCACCTGGAAGTACTTCTTCATGTAACCACATTTTTTTGAAAAGAGTAGGCTTTACTTGGAATTGTTTCTTGTGATGTGTAGCTTGTGTAGAATAGCAGCTTGGTTTTGCGAAGTCAGTTGCAAGTTGAGGTGAATGGCTTCCACCCAAAAGCTTTGGTTTTCGTGTCTGAGAAACGATGCGCCTTCGCTGCTGGGAAGCTCATTGTGGAAATGGATGTGGAGTCCAAGAAACAGAGGTCACCAGGGTCCACCCGGGAGTGGATGCTGAAGTTGTCCGAACAGCTCCGGTCCTGGAGCTGTTCAAGTAGTGCGAATGCAAAGGTCGAAAGACCTGGAAAGTCCGGTAACTTCTTTGTCAAAGGAGTCCGGAAAACAGATGTCTAGGATTTGGATAACAAGGATGGATTTTTGAACAAGGTCTGGATGTTTGGATACCTTTCACAAAAGAAACCACCGCTGTGCCTCGCCGGCAGTGCCAGGTTTGTGCAGGGACACAGTGCGACTGTGACTTGCATCACCCATTCGGAGCAACAAGCGCTGGGAGCATCGGGGCAAGTGCTGCGATCTGGCGCCAAGTGGGCAGAAGTCTTGCTTTGGGATTCAGAATCCTTGGAGATTTGCGCCTGCTTTTCATTCCACCAGGCGCATGGGTTCCACTTTTTGTTTCTTTATTTTCTGGCTGGTGGGATTTCATCATTTCCACAGCTTTTCATCGGTTTCTTCAAAAATGCTTTTGGGTATCACAACTTTTTCACCTCTTCGCCGCCTGATCAGGCCAATGTTGTCGCTTGCTTGAATGCTACTTTTAAAGGTGCTTTCTGGTACTTGTGTGATTTGTGTGTTTGTTGATTTTGTTAAGGTGTCGTGTGGACTCATTTTCATTTGACTTCAAACTCTTCAGTTTTTGCGATTTTGCAACTTGCCTCAAATCTTCAATTCCACATCCGAAGACCGTCCTGGAACTCTAATTTGGCACCTAACGTGGCCGCAGCCAAGGAAGCTGTTGGTTTTGTCCAAGACGGTGAAGTCCTGGTGTCCATCGGTTCCGACCGCGATCGAACCATGGCCTTATGGCCGGCGGCGCGAGAAGGATGTTTTCGGATTGGAAGGAAAGAAGGAGTGCCCTTGGCCCCTCGGCTCCAGTCGGCTCCAGTTGCACCAAGAACTTACAGCTGTGATTCTGCCTCAAATCCTGAAGGATCTGAAGGTCTGAAAGGTGCAAGCTGCCAGGTGTGACGTCCATTTTTCAGCGGAAGTTCCGTCCCCAAGATGTTATAAAAAATCTAAGGTGTGTATTCTCCCAAGGTTCCAGGTTTCTTCTCTGGTTCCCAGGCAGTATGCTCTGCGTACAAGGGAGGTGCCATCAGTGGCATCGCTGCAGCTCCGGGCAGCAGCGACCTGCCGATGCTCTTTGCGAGCTACGGGGTGCAGCACATCAAGTTTTGGCGCAGCCCGCGCTCCGGACGCCTGTCCCAAGCCATTGAGGGACGCCGTGGTGCCTTTGGATCTGACGGGGTGCCCAAGATGATTCTTTGTGCCGTTTGGGTGTCTCGAGACCGCCTGGTGGCTGGGGGCAACAATGGTGACTTGACTTGAGGATGCGCTCTTGGGGTCGGGTTACACACCTTAATGGACTCTTGATAGACCTTGCATTGCAGTTGCCTTTGCTACAACATTATGCTTGTCGCATGATCTTGTCTTGACCCTTTTGCACCAGGTGAAGTGTTTTTCTTCCACGGGAGTCGAGCTGTTCGCAAAATGGAGCCTCAGTCCTCTCCTGTGGCCTGCTTGTTGCCACTGCGGGAGAGTCTGGCGGTCGTTTCTCAGCCTCAAGTGATCATCAGTGATCCAAATGTTTAGGACCTTTTGGCCCTGTCAAACATAGAAGACATCAACTGCTGCACATGGTTAGTAGCCCTGCCAATGGTCGCCTCCAAGGTTCATGGCAACGGCATGTGCCACTTTCTGCATGGCGGAAAGACGACAGATGTGGAGTTTTCCAGCGTTGCAGGGTGGCCAGGTCCTCGCTTTCGGACACAGCTGGTGTCAGGCACATGGGATTCTGAAGTGTTGATTGTTCACAACTCAGAACAGCCTATATATAGGGTCTACATATAGGACCCACGGATAGGATCTACCTATAGGGTCTAGAACAAAAGCGGCATCGTTGGATCTATAGGTGCCACTATGATATGGGGTTGTTTGAAAATCGGGGAGTGATCTTTAAATTCTGGCCATTTGAAGGGGCATAATATGCATATATATATATAAATACACATACATATGGTATTCACACGTGAAAATTCGGGGGTCCCCTGTTTTGAGACAACGCCATTTTTTTTGGAGACGCTGATTCAGGGTTTCTGGCTGTACAAGGTGCGTGGAAAGATAGGCAGCTGCTCTTGTCCTCAAAGACGCATTTGATCTACTTGGCTACTTGGCAGAGTTGCATCACTATTTGTTCATATTTGTGCATCTTCTGGGAATCAGATTGGAATCAGGCCAAACAAAGAGCAAAAGATTTTGACCATTCTGCGACCTACGGTGGATGGAAGAAATCCTGTACCAGTTTGTAACTATTGACTATCGGTAACTATGAAACACTGTAATTAATGGGATCATACGGGGACAACCCATCTATCAACTGGTGCAGGATTTCTTCCATCCACAGTACCATCTTCAAATCCGACATGGGAATCATCAACTTTTACCTTGCAATCTGGATGTTGAAACACCCACATAAGGACCTGAGCAATGGTCTACCACGTGCCACATGCAAGCCCCTGGTATCACAACCAGCTGCTGCGTTAACCTCAGTGGCAAACCATCCAGTGGCGCCACGAATCTACACCGCCGCGCTCGATGGCTTAGTGCGTTGCTATGATGTCAAGGACCGCTGCGACCAACCTGTTGGGCTTTGACGGGCTTTGTTCATAGGGCCGGAAAGCCATGACTGCGCCTTGCTGTTATGCTGTCTTTTCTTTCTGGGGGAATGGGGTCATGGATCCTTAGAGTCCGTTTGCATTGAACCACATTGATTCATATTGATTCTATTTTGCCCGATTGAAGGAACAAATTATTTGTTGAGCTACTACATCAAGGCATGTCAGTGACATAAATATGAATCTGATCCTCAGAGTTTGATCCTGTTCCATTCGCAGGACATGACGCAGTTGGAACAGCGAAGCTTCCATGGCTCCAGCCAGGGAGTCACCTGCCTTGCCATCTCTGGTGCAGCAGATGAGGAGAGCTCAGCATGGCTCGCTGTAGGATGCGACTTGGCAGATCCAAACTTGGTGGCGTTGGATGCTTCCAACGAGTTGCGAATGTTGCAACATGAAAGGTATTGAAAGGTCATAGTTTTTGTACTTTGGGGCCCAAAGGGGTCATAAATTTCAAGCACCTCCGCGCCATACGATGCCATGCGGCCCCCACATGTTCTTACAGTATGTTGCAGTCAAAGTACGGTGACGCGAAACCAGCTGTGCCCAGGCAGCGATTCCACTTTGTCCATCATGAGCGAAAACTCCTACCAATATGTCCTCAGAAGGACTGTTTCTCAAGTGTGGGGGACCCTGATAGAGTGCCAACATGCAGTCTGTTGACGATGTGTGATCAGCTTGCGACTTTTCGTGCCAGTCAATGATAGAGGTAGCTGCTAAACGAGGGGACATAAAGAGCTCTTGGAAGTGCAGCCAAGTTGGAAAGGGGTTAATAAAGTTGACAACACTAAGAATCATGGCTGTAAGTTTCTAAGTTATCACCCATGCATGATATTTACCCCCAGTTACGTGTGGATTGTTGCCCCTGTGCCAAAATTTCATCCAAAATCACCCCCTCCAGTGCTAGGACTCTGTCAGGCAGCAAAGCCAAGCTGACCTGCGCCAAGTTCTCCTCAGTAGATATGTCCGGGAAGCATCCCCTGTGGCTGGCGGTCGGCACAGATGATGGGTGCATCCATACATTCCGTTTCAAGGAGCGTCAAGTTGGATGGCTTAGTCCCAAACAATAAGGGGGAGAAGTTGGGAGTATCCTCGATTTTCAGATACATCGAAATCAACAGGACTCCTGAATGAGGAGGTTTGAAGCTCACAATAGAGACAATGCAAACCTTCTTTGAGTTGTTGCTTCCAGGGTTTTTGTTGTAATCGCCTACTTTCGAAATGATGAAACTGATGAAACCATTGTGGTTTATGCACACCTTGACCTTGAAATTTGACAGCTGAGGAGCCTTGCTGTCGGAGCTCAGCCTACACTGGGATGCACACTGGTGAGGAGGTGGTCAGCAAGGTCGCCACCTTGCGTGGCCACGAGGCTCCCATCGTGGACATTTGTTTTGCTGAAACATGGCTGGAGCACTGGTGAATCATTGGCCATTGTGGGCTTTTCCCCATTTCTGGGGAAATCCACATGACTGACATGATGGTATCACAGTAAAGGCTTTTCACAGATTTCACAGGGAAACCAACAGCAGCAATCAGCTTCTCAGCTTGGCTAAGTGCCAAGGATACTTTGCCTTGCAACTATCTGATCAGTGCGGACCTGTCCGGGAAGGACAGGGCCTGGATGTATAGCCAGCGGCCACAATCACAGGTAGTTGGTTCAAATGGCCTTAAGTCAGTTCAGTGGTCAAAAGTTGGATGATATATACCCAGTTCTTGGCGGTCATCAAATTTCTTAGGGATTTCTATACCCATTATATATGTTTGAATTCACATGGCATTGGATGTGGGTGACCGGGCCCTTAATTCTCATTGTCATATTATCCCCATTGTGATCCCATTGTTGATGGTTAAATCCCATTATTGTCCCATTCATATCAGATTGATATTTAATGTTTTCCTGTATATTGTTGGTTATATAATGTGAAGTCTACACATCTAAGTCATGTATATATATAGTAATATAATATAATATAATATAATATAACATAATATAATATAATATACAATATAATATATAATATATAATATATAATATATAATATATAATATATAATATATGATATATTATATATAATATATAATATATAGTATATAATATATAATATATAATATATAATATATAATATATAATATTATATATAATATATAATATAAAATAATATAATTTGATTTAATATAATACAATATGATATAATATATATAATAATATAATATATGTATATATATAATAATAATATAATATATTTAATAATATAATAATATAATATAGTATAATATAATAAAATAAAATATAATATAATATAATATCTGAATATAATATAGTATATATATAAATAATGTAATATTTATATACATATGTAATATGTATATAATATGTCTATAATATAATTTATATTATATAATATATATATAAATATGTAATATATAATATATTACAATATAATATGATATAATATAATGTAATATAATATAATACAATATGATATGTATATATTATCATGATATAATATGTATCTATATATAATATTATCATTATATATAATATTATCATTATATATATATTATCATTATATATATATATATTATCATTATATATATATTATCATTATATATATATTATCATTATATATATATTATCATTATATATATTATCATTATATATATATTATCAGTATATATATATATTATCATTATATATATATTATCATTATATATATATTATCATTATATACTATCATTATATATATATATCTAATATACTCATATATATATATATATTATCATATATATATATTATCATATATATATATATTATCATATATATATATATATTACATATATATCATCATATATATATATATATCATTATCACATATATATATATATATCATCATATATATATATATATCATTATCATTATATATATAATATATTATCATTATATATATATATATATTATCATTGTATATATATATAGATATTATCATTGTGTATGTATATATATATATTATGTTCATTCTATAGCCATAAGATTTAGGTTACACAAAGCCATATACCCATTATGACCGGGGGCCCCAGGAGTTAGCCTTCGATGTGCCCATGGCCCGACGCCTGCCCACCATGACATTGGTGCCTGGGAGTATCCGAGCGACCACCCATTGATGGTGAAGATCGTTTTTATGGTTTTATAGTTTTGTGTTTCTTATTTATTCATGTATGGATGCATGTATGTATTTATTTATTTAAATCATGTATTTACTTGTTTATTCATCTAGTTGTCTTTTATGTATCACTTACGTTTGGGTTTACATGGTGCGCAACATGATGAGATACCACAGATCCATGGGACTGTTCACGTCCACTTTGGCTGCAGGATTTATGGATACAAACAACCTGGTGATTTTGGAGCTTTGCGAAGCCTTTCGAGTCGTTAGCCAAATTGAGGTGAGGGAAGTGCCCTTCCATCCTTGGACATTACCTGTGGGATGGCAGATGCAAGGATGCAAGGACAGTGGGGGCGGGCAAACTTTTAGCATTGTGAACCCGGAAGGGTGCAGCTTCGCAGCTTGTTCTTTTCCTCCTTTGGTCCAAAAGTTCAAGACATGTTCAAGAGTAGAATTTGACACCAAAACCTAAGTCCTGGCACACTATCACTAGCATTGAACTCGAAACAACCACTTTTTGGTTGGGACGTCATTTGCACATGTCTCACTCCCCGCCGCTATCCCATGACAGTTGGCAGGTAGGTCGTCCAAACAACCCTTGGTTTTACAGGTGGACAAGAAGCTCCCGAGGGTTCACGAGATTTCTGGGAGGCAGCGGATGGGGACATAGTGACATCATTGGCTGACCAGCTGACAGGGGGCAATTTGGGCACCAAGCAGTCCAAATCATCATATCCTTGCAGTGATGGATGTTCATCCCCCCAAACGGTCCCAGAAGTATTGATCCAACCCCTTTGGCTATGAATTTCAGGCAGTTGATTGCCGTTGCCACTGATGTCATCAAAGTCTTTCCCTTTCCGTCATCACCTTGGCTTCACCAGAACGGTGAATCTTCAAAGCGCGAAAAAAGAAAATCATCAGTTTCTCTGCAAGCCGAGTTGGCTGATTTTTTGTAGTTTGTGAAGCCTCAACATGTCCTCAAATTTGATCCACATTTCCAGCTGCATTGATCTTGGGAGCCTGGGGTTTGTGAGGTGCATTAGCCCTCCGAGCATCCATCCACTTCGACTGGAGGGCCCTTCAGTTGGTCCCTCAGGGCATTGGAGAAGGCAACAATTTCAGTCATGAAGGTGTTATTCCCAGACGTTTTTTCTGGAATTTGGTTACGGTAATCACAATTTTCTCTATTTAAATGGCCACTTTGGGAATCTCTCATTTTCAGATACCCACATAGATCACATAGTCATTTAGAAACTCAAAGTGTGTGAAACTTCAAATTCAACATGACTTCAGATGTAGAGACCAGATGGTATTGACATCCTCAGGACGGCCCCTAGGGTTCCAACTTTCAGCCAAGGCGCCTATCGCCTCGTTGCTGTTCAACCCGATGAATGACAGCCTGTTGGCGAGCTCTGACACGGCCAGAAGCCCAATTTCCACATCTGATTCCAGTTCAAAGCTGTGGGTCCAGCCCTCCCAGGCTCTTTTCGTTTGGTCATGGGAAACTGAAGCACAGGCGCAGAGACCTTTCAGATCTTTCAGAATTTCAGGGCCCTGCACCTGAAGCTTGACAACTCAGCTTGAGGTATAGTAAATGGTTCCACAGGTTCCTTCAGTTGCAGAGCCGAACTGATTTACTTGGCTTCTCTTTGGACGCAGGCGAGACTACCTCTGAGCCCCTTGCGATCCGTGGGGGGCATCAGGTTATGAACACTGCGTGATTTTGCAGTCGCAGTTCTTTTTGTTGTTGCGGAAATGGAATTGGTCGCAAGGTCCAAGAATCTGAGACGCCTGATAGCCGAAAACCGCAGGTGCCGGCCTGGATCCCAGAGCATATTTCTGCTTTTTCACGCCAAAGAAAAACTCTCCAAGTCAAAAGAAACAGACCACATCTAGGTTGATTAGGTTGGCTTATCTCTGGCAGACCTCAGTCTATTTTCATCCAAAATTGGATGGTTTCCTCAAGGAAAACCACCAGCGAGAGGCCATTTCTATCCGTTTCTGCAAGTTTCCCTGGTGCTGAAAAGGCCTTCACGCCGCCACCGCGGCCGCGGGTCCAAGTGCAGGCAGGGATGAAAAGAGTTGTGCGGAATGGGGGACCACATATGGATTGGACCTTTTTTTTACTCACCATACCAACAAATCGGGGACGATTTGACGAACAAACATGGAGTTTATTATGTAACCGACAAAAGTAGGGGTTTACGCATTTAACCAACAAATATGGGATTGCAGTAAGTCAACATGAAGACACCAATTCAGGGGGGTACCCAGTGTTGACCCATAGCAGAATGGTTTCGCAGCAATTGGTCCAAAGAGATTTGCCTGGCAAAGCTGAATAGCCACCGTTGCAGGACGATCAGAGCAGGTCCGGCATTGGAAAGCCGAGACCGAAAGCTGTTGGAATTGCCAAGCAGTATCTGCCCCAGAACACTATGTTAGATGAAGGGCAAATTGATGTGGTGTCCAGTGAGTTTTCCTCCAATCATTCCATTGAACTTGAAGGTGTCTCTTCCGTTGGGAAGTCCGATCTTGCGACTGAGGCTGTGACTGGCTGTGACTGGGCTTCAAGCTTCAAGGCCAGTGACGATGCGGGTTTGTCCATGGGGGATACCTCAGATTGGCAATTTTTATGTCGAAAATGATGATCCAATGATCAGCTTCTGGGGTATATACGGTATATAAGTATAATAACCCATTTTCAGGCAAACCAGTGTAGAAGTTCTGGCCGTTTGCTAGTTGGGTCAATGTGAAAGGGGTATGGAGATGTTTGCGCTTGGTGAAGACGCACTTCCCTTCTCTGAAGGTCGAGCAGCCTGAGGACTTCGTCTGAGGGCGCGTAAGTTCAATGTAAATTCTGTGAGTCCACACTGTTCAACGGAACAGTTTGAGCCGAGCATTGTGGAATGTTGGGTTTTGGTGCAGTCTTAATTATTTGTAATGTGTAAAGATTTTAAAACTTGAAAGTCCTTGACAGTAGGACCTTGCTGTAACTGATTGCTCAGGCTTATTTGGACACAGTGACACTGTTTCATGAGCAGCTTCGAAGTTGTGCGCTCTTGTATTTTCTGGGGGTGACAGGCGAACTCTGCGAAAGCCCTGGGGCAGAGTGCGCTTGCCGGCGTCAAGCCAGCAGGGAGGAAAATGCCGCGGGAGATGTCCTCACGAATGACCGACAGTTAAGCATTCTTCAGGTTTGTTGAAGTTGAATTCACTAGAGCTTGGGCAAATAAATGGTAAATGAAAGCCAAAGCTGCTATCGCAATATGGTGGCTGTTTGCTTCTCGATATTCGTAATTCGTACCTTTCTTGGTCCAGCTGAAACAGGTAGAGGGTATCAACAGCAAACTCAACTTTGACCCAATACAGAATGCAAGCACACCTAGAAGAGTCTTCAGAATACTTCAGCTGAAGCAAAGAGTCGTCCATATCGTTTCAGCTTTGAGGACGGACATAGGCCAGTTCGAGTTGGGATCTACTCCAATCTCGCTTTATGTTGCAGCCGTACGTCTCCAGCTGCGTTTTTAACGCTTGGAGCTGAGAATCAAAATGGAATTGTGATGCACGATGATGTGGGTATTGGGTCAAGCTTGGGCCAACAAATTTGCTATTCTTGGTATCAACCCATCCATTCTGGAGTCCAATATCTTTGATCCTTAGCTCTGCCGCTGCAACCAAGGGATTTCATGCTCACTTGATCCAATCCGCCAGAAGTCGTTCTCACTTCAGGCAGGGAGAGGGACCGGTTATATTGAATGGGATGGAGTTTGGCAGCAGTTTTCGGGACTTAGTAGGACTTCGGGCAAAAAAAGTGTCACTTTGCGCAGTTTGTTGGACAGCTTAAGACCTGCCAGCTGGCCCCGCGGCACCAGGCTTTCCGCTGGCCTTCGAAATAGCTTCGTGGGTGTGGTCCTTGCAGGTGCACTAGCGATTTTACGGATGGGCTTGGGAGGGCGATACCCGATTTGGATACGTTGGATGTGGCGTCTCAGTTTTTTTGGAACTCAAGCGGACTTTGTTAGACAACTTATTCGAGCGCTGCTACCCCTTTCTGCAAGATTCAGAAGCCAGAAACACTTAGACACCCTTTGATGAGTGCCATGTAAACAAGTTCACATATCAGATATGCAGAGATGTAGCCAACCTTGAACTACTGGAGATAGGGAGTTCAAACAAAACGAACCAGTTGGGAACCTCAAATTTCCGCCGTTCGGATGCCTAGAGATGGCCCGCTGGCGTCGACAGCGGCGCACTCCAGAGCCAGAGCCGCCGCAGTTTTTGGAGGACTACACAACCATTTCAGCAAAACCATGAAAAATCCATAATAATCCATAATTTCTTGGAAACATAGGGTGCAACGATGGGAAATGAATGGAAAGGCCTGTTCCGTTTACCATCCTCTCAACATCAAAGACACCCTCATTCAAATAAGCCTCTCTTCAACTTTCATGGCACTGAAGTGGTGCCGACAGCTATTTTGGTGTGACAACTTGATTGAGGTTCTATATTCGTCCTTCAATCGATTGGTTGGTCAAATATTAAATTTCCATCTTTATTGGCTGACACCCCAGATTTGTGGCTTAGATTTCATTTTTTTGCTGCTTAAATTCACAGAACCCCAAATCCCCCCCCTCCAACACCCTGTTGAGCTCAAATCCTTACATTGCCAAACATAATGCCAGACAGCAAACTTGGATCTTCATGGCTGAAGTGGTAAAACAACGCTTGAAATCCTTAGTACTTGGACTCAAATATCATGCTTTTTGGACTTAATCCCCACATGTTTGTTGATCTCCCAATTGTTCGTGTCAAATCACCAATTTTTGCTGGTGAAATCACCATCATTCACCTTCTGGTTGTGCATCCCTTTAGGAGGCCGTAGGCTTGCGGCGGTTTCATCAGCTCAGCGCTGCGCGGCGGCACAACGAGACCCTGACGCAGCTCCTGGCGTTGCCACCCGAAGACCGGGCCAAAGCACTGGCGACGATGCGAGCCAAAGCGGTGGAAGAGGAGATGAGGGCAGAGCCTTGTGGCAGTTGATCGATTTTCATTAAAAAGACCATGGATGTTATATGATATCAGAATATATTAGGTATGAATATGGTGTTATCATTTTTTTTAATCCAGGTACATCTTAGCATCTTGTTTTGGGATTTGAAAGATACATTTGATTTTAAAGTTCTTTTATGTTCTTTTTGGGTTCAACCCCCACTGTCAATCTAGGCCTGGAAAGACAGTCAAATCTCCTGGATCCACTGAAAACAGTCGAGTTTCTATCAGCGTATTTCTACAATGCGAGTTGATATGCCACCAAGCTCCGTTATCGCAAGAAGCTACTCTGAAAATATGACCTGCAGAGCTCCTGAGAGCCAAGCTGGTGCACATAACCAAGAATTGCCTGACAGATTTTGTTGTTCGACACTGGCTGTTGTTCCCGACTTGATCCAACGATCAGACACAAAATTAAGCCATGATGAGTCCCTAGCCCCTTAGGAAGCGAAGGAATGAAAAGAGTTGAACAAGAATGGTACATACTACTCTATTTCAACGGTCATGTTCGGTCTTACCAGTCTTACCGAGATCCGCTTATTTTGCTTGTTCAATCCTCTAAGGAAGGCAAGTGCGAGAAATGCATGATGCAGAACCAGTACTGTATTTGCGAGTCGATTCAGACGATCCGCAACAAGTCTGAAGATGAGCTGAATCGATGGAACATGAGATTTGTTGTATGGATGCATCACAAGGCAGGGGCGAAAACGCTGGTGGTGTCTCTTCATGTTAATGTTGTTTGAGTAATGTACGGATCTTCGGCGTTAGAGCACCGATCATTACTCAGGAGAGGAGACGAGCATCAAACACTGGAAAGCTGTTGAAGCTCGTGATGCCCGACAAAACTGACATCTTGGTTCATGGTGTTGCAGAAGATGACCAACTTCTAAAAGAGCTGATCCAAGATAGCCGCAACCATTGCTTCGTGGTGTACCCATCAGAAGATGCTGTGCCGCTCACAGCACTTTTCCCAGCGACTGGACCGACTGGAGCGACTGGAGAAAGCTCTGCCCAAGTTGCTGAAATCGTTCCCGTGGCAGTTCTGATTGACGGCACTTGGAACCAAGCGCAGCGGATGCACAAACACTTCGAAGCTATGCAGCATGTGGTGGTCTTCCCTACAGGCCCGGTAGAGTTCAGGATACCTCAATGGCTCGAAACGAATAGGACTACTGCATTACTTGTCCTATGTACAGGAAACTTAGAGACTCAGAAAAAGTTGTACCCAGACATCTTCATTTTTTCAATCATTGTTTCGTCCTTTCTTTATTCGATTTTATTCGCCATTCAGGTCAGTCCAAATTCCATTGGCGTCGTCAATCTCAAGAGGGTCGCATCAGTACCGTGGAAGCGGCTGCTTTGGTCCTGGAGGAACTGGGTCAAAGCGGAGACGGCGATGCTCTGCGGAACGCCTTGGCAATTTTGATGGATGCCCTGGGGCGCCAATGCCACCATGATTCTTGGCGATTGAAAACGGGAGCAAATATGAAGAAATTGAAAAAAGGTGCGGCTTGGTTTGATGATGTTTGGAGAGGCTTACAAAAGTTGTTTGACCCTGCATTGCAGCAGATCTTTATAAATGAATTGGATGGACTTGGATCAAAGTCTGGAACTTGGACTAAAATAGGAAAGACCAGCTACCAGTGTAGTACACACGGTGTTTCTTGTCATCAAGGTGGCCAGTCCGTGAATACATTTGCATCGTGTGTTGTTGTTTGAAGATGTCGTCTGTGAAGTGGTAAATTCCAAACCTGCTGTGAGCATTTGGACTGCCAACTCAGATCAGCACAGAGGGCAAGAGGGAATTTGAACAGAGGATCTGATTAGGGTATCCATGCGAAGATGTTCAGGCCAGGACTCTTATAATCTGGAAGGAGAACTCTGGATGAGGAGACAGGATGATTTTCATCAGTAGATCTTGACAAAGGCATGCCAGTGATGCCGTGTCGGAAAAGGTTCTCAGCCAGGAATTCAGAAGGTCTGGACAAAGCGATTCAGGAGGAACTCTTGGACCAGAAACTCACTATGTTTTTTTTTTTTTAGGACGAGATGTTCCTGTCAGGCCCTTCGAAAGTTTGATTCGAATCTCTGGTATTTTAAGAACCCAAAGTTTGGTCACTTTGTAGAATTATTATAATGTTCAGTCCCTTCCCAGAACCATTTGAGTGGACGTCCTGTGAAAGCTGCAGTCTGGCAAGGACACACTATTCAATCATGAACTACCTGAGCCAACTGGAAAGAAAAAGTTTGCATTGGGAGCCAAGAAGATTCAGAAGATCCTTCCGGGACAAAGAGGGAGTTCCAGCATTTGTGATGATGACTTGGGGTGAAATCAGATGCACCAGACTCCGGTTTTGACATTACCATGAAGTCTGTGAGGGCAATCAAAGTCCGATGACAGGATTTGCAGTACATTCCTGGTGGACCGCGATGGAACATGGCTACAACTCTCAGCTGCAGAAACGTCTTAAGATCTGCCTCGCTTTCAGCAGTTTGGCTGGGCAGGCAGTGGGCGAGGGGTTGGCAACCGTGGGCGAGGACAGGATGTGGCATGATGCGGCATGTTCCAATTGCTGCAAGGCCCTTCACCAACTTTGGTGGCGAGTCCGTGGATGTCGATGCTGATTATTCCAGCTTCTGATCCCAGCAGCTGGCGCATTGCCTTCCGAGCTGAGCTGCAAGCTATTCAGAAACGGTGATTGAAATCAGTGGAAAAGGCCTCGTCTCATCAATTCGGCTTAGTACCCTGAGAGCCAGGTACTGCGGTTCCTTGCTGCCGATGTTGGATGTATTTGCCGAAAGAACCAGAAGAAATACATTCCTTTGACTACTTTGAAGCGTCGCTTGTTTGTCTTCGTTTTGCTGATGCTCGAAACCTTTCTTTCCAAGCCTTCAGCTCAAGTTCAAATCATGTCGATGGCATGCACCATGGTGTATGAACACGTCCTTGCAAAGCTCCACAGAAGTTGTCAAATGTGACCAGAAACAGAAGTGTCAAATGGACTGTACTGATCCATCAGGGTTCGCCTTAAAAAAGTGTTTTGTAATCAAAATTGTGACATCTTGCTGTTGCTATGCTGCGTCGCGCAAGCAGAGGATCAGGAGCTGCTTCAACCGTGGGTTCTTTTGCTTTCTGGCAAGCCGGGCAGTTGCAGTATCAGTTACCCAAAGCAGCGCATAGGAGCCCTCGTGGCATTGCTGGCAGTTTTTGGGTTTCTCGGCAGCCTTTCATTGACAAGGTGACTTGAGTAGCAACCAGGAACTGGACCGGTAAGTAGAAGATCTGGAGGATTCACATATTGTTCAACACTAAGACTCACTAAGAGGTACAAAGGGTCGCAAATGAGACACATTCAGACTTCACATTACTTCACTATATTCCTTCATACGAAACTTTGCAAGTCCACAAGCAAGTTCCATTCTTTCCATGTTTGCCCCGCCAAATGAGACTTTGCACGAAGTAGCACATGGATGATGAAAGCCAGGTTTGCCACCAGCTTTCTGCAGCTTGGTGCTGTTCAAAATCGAGGCCAACTGTTGTTTCTTTGTGTTTTGTTGCTGATATGTTCGTACGGTTTGAGATTGCCAGTGAAAAAAGGCCGTTAGTGAGGCATGTTGCCAATCTTCAAGAGAGGTTTGGCAGGGCTGTGATTGGTCCGCATCAGGTGCCGGCCGTCGCGAAGTCCTATCAGTGCTTGCCGTGGCACCTGTCTTGAGTTGCTCGTCAATGAAATCAGCCACATCATTCAGCTTTTTCCGCATGTTCTTCACTGAGGCAGCGTTCCAGATGCTGCTTTTGCTAAAGACCTGTCCGGCAACTACGATGACACTTGGTTTTTGTACATCTCTTGCACATCTTTTCCGCTTTCAGATGCGAAAGAACGTGGTGGCAAACTTCTACGGACCGTCCGACTGATGGGGCTCCTTGGGCTAAGGATCCAGAATATCCTGGATGCAAAAGGAGAATCATCACTCTGAACGATGGCGAAGTACAAGTCAACATGAAGGACTGAAAGCTTGCATATGATGTCCTAATGTCCTGCGTTTCTTTTTCTGTAATTGCTTAGATGTTGTAGCAGATTGACATGACTTGCGGCTTTGCAGGATCCTGACCGAGGAAGATCTTGCAAGGGAAAGCAAGAAGTGAAATATGTTTTGAAAGGCGCGGAGACTGAGGGTACTCCATGTAGCTTCACGCAGAAATCGCTTTCCAGAGAGTAGAAAACAGTCCTTTGTTCACAAGGCAAATCCAGATTCAGCCTTTAGAACGCAATCTTGACAGCATCAATTGCCGTTTCCCTGTGTCAAGATCAGTGCCGCAGCTGCCGTGGCCATGTGGCGTGGCAGGTTCCGTTTCCGGCGATCAAGTCACCATTGACTTTGCTGATAGAGGCGGTGGCAAAGTTGTCCCTTGGAGCCAGAGTCTGGAGGGGATCGTTTTGCAAGCGGTTGACTGGTTTTTCAGTATCAACACAGAAAGAAACAACTGAAATTTGCTACACATGGCATCAAAACACATGGCATCAATACATATAAACAAATATACGTATCTATCTATATTTATCTATCTATCTTTATCTATCTATCTTTATCTATCTATCTTTATCTATCTTTATCTATCTTTATCTATCTTTATCTATCTTTATCTATCTTTATCTATCTTTATCTATCTTTATCTATCTTTATCTATCTTTATCTATCTTTATCTATCTTTATCTCTCTTTATCTATCTTTATCTATCTTTATCTATCTTTAGCTATCTTTATCTATCTTTATCTTTCTTTATCTATCTTTATCTATCTTATCTAAACTTAAGAGTAATGAAACCATTGGTTTCTATTGGCCAGAAACGTTGAGGTACATACATAGGGGTATAGGGGGTACGACCATACAGGTACATGGGTACGACCATACAGGTACATGGGTGCGGTCAGGTAGGTACGTGGGTACAGTACGTGGTACGGTTGGGTAGGTACGTGGTACGGTTGGGTAGGTACGTGGTACGGTTGGGTAGGTACATAAGTACGGTACGTGGGTACGGTCTATTGGTGCGTGGGTACGGTTGGATAAAGGTACATAGGTACGGTCATGTGAGTCATGTAGGTACCTGGTAAGGTGCGTGGTTGTGATTTTATTGGGATTGGGACTGTGATTTAAAGTTTATAACTTATAATAACTATGAGTCACTATGTGACAATGTGGGGTGCATGGTGCATTGTTGGTTTTTGTCACTGCAGACTACGGAATAAGAAACAATAAGTTTAGTCCCCCAGGCCTACTATTTACTATATCATTCAACTGGTGATCAGAAGTACAGTATAAAAATCATTACATCAAGCATCACGCTGATTAGGCACTTGTGGAAAGGTGCTGTGATTGCTGGATTTCGCTCGGCCTTTGATGGTTCCTTGGCCCAAAGCGAAGTGGCCACAATGCTGGTCGGGGTGGCAGCCAGGTTGGGTGATAGAATTAGGGGAAACTTGGCCGATTGCGATGATCGTGGAGTGGTGGACCGGCCACCCATGTCTGTGGCATGTCGCATGGCAGTCGCCCGGGCAGGACTAATGCCGGGATTGAATACTGGAATCAAGTTGAAGTTGAAGTTGCAGCCTAGTCGTTGTTTGCTAACCTGGTATCCATTAACCATATGTGAATGCTGGTTTGTTAAAGTTTGAACACTTAGTTGCATTATAAATAATTTTTGGGGTAATGATTGGAAATAATTTTGTTCTCGTTAAGTTAACTTCCGATAAATCCAAGCGTAGGTAAGGACTGGCAATGATCCATGGTAGAAAATTATGAAGGGCTGCGAAAAAACAATGTCCCCACCCCCCACTCCCAAGTCAGGTTGTCTCAGTTCCCTGATATAAGTTCCACCACTGGAACCGTTTCGGCCAGGAAAAAGAGTGGTCAAAGAGCGACAGAAAGTAAACCGACTTCTCCTGAAAGTGAGGAGCTGATTGTTTCGTGGTTGTAGGCTTCTGTTGATAACTGATAACGTCCATGTTTGCAAACACTGGGCGGGGGGTGGGTCGGACCATAAAACCAAGCAATCTTCAATCTTCCTAAACGCTGGTTACTCTCTTTCCTGCAGCCTGCAGCCATGTGTTTTGGCTTTGTTCATTTTTTCTGTACATGAAAAGTCTGAAGGACTCCATTTAAGTAATGTTTCAATAAAGGAACATGTAATATTTCTGAGACAACTTTTTACGTATATAACTATAACTGTATGTATGTATATTTATATCTGTAGTATTTTTGCAATTTTCACAGATCATACAGTACCATGTCATTTCACATCATACCCGTTTTATACTTACCACAAGTGTTGCATCTACTATATGCTGTTCAAGTCAGTGACATTGAGTATTCATTGACTGCTATTGAACAAAAAACGTCAGTAAAAAAAAAAAACAATATGCTTCAGCTTGATTCACTTCAAAAAGGCTTCCTCCAACCCAGTCGAACTTGCGAGGACGAAAGTCAACCGCTATAATCGAGAGTTTGCCGTTCGCAAAGGCGACCTGATCTCTTTAGACGATGATGCGGGGCTCAAAGTCAAAGGCAAAGGCCGGAGACCCAGCTCAGTTTCTTGATTGATGGCCATGAACACATGGCTTCGAAGAAGTAGTGATGATGTTGATACTGACACACCAATTCAGGATACATAAGCCCGCGTTTCAAACTACTGATTGCTAATCACTAATGACTGATATTGTTTTGCATCATCAGATATGCTTGGGGTGAGGTTTACCCTGAGCCATTCAACCAGCCAATGATCAAGACCAGTCATGCCATCATGCCGTCGTGTCCGCATGCATGAGGCCAGTACAAGGCATGGACATCCTGTGCAATTCTCCGAGTGTCGTCAGCTCCCCAGTAATGTTTCTATGAATGCAGCCTGATAGTTTCATGGTTTTTACAAGAGCAACATGCCAAAGCGAAATGCGTTGTTACAATGTGATAATGACAGTTCTTGTGGAAACCATAGACCAGAACTGTCAGCTTGCGACACGCCGATGGATTGAAACTGCCATGTGAAATGAAACATTATTTGGCGTAAAATATTTTCAATTTGCATCATATATATGATGAAAATACATATTTATAATTTATATGTTATATGATGACTATAGTATATATAGTAGGTTGGCTTGCTCTGACCGATTTTCCTAGGCTTGGACGAGCAGTCAGCTCTGTGCTGGAAGGCATGCAAAGTCGAAAGGGCAAGGGCAAAACAAAGTTGCCCAGGCTGAAGTCAAAATCACCGGTAATGCTCCTTGGCACGTTTTCACACAATGTGTTGATATTGACACTCAGGCATGCTACACAGTATGTGGAAAGCGAACATGAGTGTGACTGTATGTGTTTGAAGTCTGGTCACCGCACTAGCATCGGCGTCAACATGTCACGGACAAGGTTCTCTCTCAACTCGATAGCCTATTGGCTTGGGTCTGGAACGGATGCGATCATGAAGGTGCGTCATTTCAACTCAGATTTTCTTCAGTTTCTGGATTCTGATTTTTGTTTTCGACTCTTTTTTACATATAACACTTAAAGTGTAATGTAGTTAATGTAGTTTGTGATACGATATCATCAAGCTTAATCCGCTTGTTGGTTCGTTGACATTGCCAGTCGCGCAATGCGCTCTCGTGGCTTTATATGGAACTCCAACAGAACAAGTTCAATGAGTTGATGCAGGACACTGGAGGTTAGGTCACCAGAATTATGTTTCTCGTTTCTCACCAGTTATCAAGATTGTTTCATGTCAAGTCATTCCCGCTGCACCAGACTATCCACAGGAGAGGTCGCATCTATTGGCTCTCCATGTAGAGTTCGACGAGACTAGCCAGAAGCTACAGGTTCGTCAGAACTTGTTCAGAGCAGTCACAACCCTTTCAGTCCTGGTGCCTTGTTGCATTGAGAAACTTGTTTGCGACAAACCACAATAATTTCGCTGGCTGAAACCGACATAAAACAAATGACACAGTCACAGTCACAGTGGCGATTTTGATTCTTCGGCTTGAAGTTACAGAGTTTGAAAGGTTTACTTTCATCGGGGTGTGTCTGTCCTGGTTGGACGGTTGGACAGTTGGACATTTGAGTTTCTCGCTCCAAAGCAACTCGCTCAACCCTGTTTTGCGCCGGCGGCGGTGAGAGAATCAAGCACATGTTTGTTGGGGCCCCGGGTTTTCAGTTATTTTTTAAACATATCAAGTCATAACATGCCTACTCCTTGTCTTAGCTATTGAACAAACAGGTAGGTCAGTGCAAAGATTGTCACATTACATCAGATCTTTAGTTGCAGCCGGCACTTGTAGGTTGTCAACCCACCAGTGGTTTTGCGAGACAAGACTGCGAAAGGCTTATGGGAAGGCATTTCTCATGCCTCAATTTGGGACCCGTTTAGTGCGGTGCTTGGTATGCGGCAGGGGCGTGAAGTGGTATTGATTGATGTGATTGATATTGCAGATGCATTTTCCCTGAATGAGGGGCTGTTGTGGATTCTGGGTTGTGTTCAGTAAGGCATGGCCAGTCAGTGTGATCTCTTGCTCCTGAACTATGTGTGTGATGGTGCCCCGAGCAACTCTTGCATGATTGCCAACATTGCGAAGCTGACTCCAGAGAATGTACTTGTCTTTTCCTTAGCCTCAGCAATTGTTTTGTTTTGTTTTGTTGACATTCTAAATTTTTGAAAGCAGGTCTTGTCATTCGTTCGGGCCATTAGTGTGGTTCATCACATACGCTAAATTTGTCCATGTCTGCTTGTGCTTTTGCAGTCTACCAGTTTATGTCAATCAGTCGGCCCTATGAACGGCTTAGCACGTAACCCTCTTGGCTGAGGTCTTCCGTCAAGGATGCCTTTTGCACAGCCCTCAATTTGTACAGAGTGTCGTGGTGACTTGTAGCTTCGCAACGTGATTCATAGGCTCAGGCAGATTAAGATATTCGTCCAAGTGAGCAGATGCAGCCAAGGCATGAAACCAATCACGTACCCGAAATCGCATTGAAGACCTTGCAGGACCTTCCCGACATGTAGCTAGGTTGCTGTTAGGGATACAAGAAAAGAAATAGAAGTACAAACACTGCACTTGTCCTCAATGTTTTCACTACACTACACCACCACTACCTTTAAGGTTCTGCATGTCGTCGCTGCTCACCAACGGGAGCATCTTCTATGACATCCTGGTTCACTCGCGTCGGGTCTTGTTGTCGAAGTTGGAAATATCCTTCGATGAGCCTGAATCTTACCTATCTTTCTGGCTACTTCTACAGAAAAGCAACAGAAGAAGGTATAGATTCTCTGCTCTGATACCTAAGTGCCCCAGTGTGATTGTTTGTAGATTGTAGACGTTAGACTGGTGACTGGTATACTGTATATGACATGATATGGACTTGGACTCCTGTTGGCTGGGGCTTGTTTCTCCAGTAGATGCGGCATGCGTAAACGGTGAGGCCTTGTGAAGAAAACCGAGAGTATGCGCAAAGCATTATGAACCTTGTAGTCCAGAGACGTTGGACCCTTAAGATTGGAGATGGTGTAAGATGTTTGATGCACGATTTCATCAATATAGTGAGTCAGCATGATGTGATGATATGATATGATACGATACTGATATATACAACTTTACTGCACGACGCTCAGTACTGGTTATACTGCATTTAGTCGTCGTTTTAGCTTCTGATATGAATTATTATCCATACACACAGTCATACAGCACTGTTGAAGGTCCACAGGTAGATGGCGCAGACGAAGAGAATCAGGATGACCTATTGAAGTCGGCGGCAATGTTACTTTCGCTTGCCAATGGGGTCTGCGCCCCAGAGGTGTTACCGCTGTCCATTGTTGTAGTCGTAGTCGTAGTTTTAGTCATTTTGACGAAATTGGCTGGATAAACATGCATACCTACATGTATACGTACAGCCGAAAGGGAGTGGATAAGCACCCATATTCGGACCCTTAATATGGCCGGTCTTCCACCCATCCAACAAGCCACTCATACAGAGTCATACCATATATCATATCATAAAGGTATAAATGCATACATACATTACATACATACATACATACATACATACATACATACATACATACATACACATACATATACATACATATACATACATATACATACATATACATACATATACATACATATACATACATATACATACATATACATACATACATATACATACATATACATACATATACATACATATACATACATATACATACATATACATACATATACATACATATACATACATATACATACATATACATATACATACTATACATACATATACATACATATACATACATATACATACATATACATACATATACATACATATACATACATATACATACATACGTACGTACATACATACATACATACATACTCATACATACATCCATGCATCCATACATACACACATACATACATACATACATACATACATACATACATACACACATACATACATACATACATCCATACATACATACATACACATACATCCATACATACATACATACATACATACATACATACATACATACATACATACATACATACATACATACATCCATACATCATACAACATACATACATACATACATACATACATACATACATACATACATACATACATACATACATACATACATACATACATACATACATACATACATACATACATACATACATACATACATACATACATACATACATACATACATACATACATTAAATTACATACATACATACATACATACATACATACATACATACATACATACATACATACATACATACATACATACATACATACATACATACATACACACACAATGAGTACATATATATATATCATATATATATATCCACGAGAAAGGAGTAATTTTGAACCATGCGCAATTGCCCATGGAACCTTTTTTGCTTTCCCATTGCCAAGTTGGGCTCCTCTTCGTGGTCGAAAAATCTCGTAATGTAGCCAGAATAGCTGCTGGCGTAGGGCCCGAGGATTCCCAGCGCCTTCCTTGGTTCTTTGATTCGTGACGACATCCTCATGGGTAGGCTATGGGTTAACATTGGGGACCCCCCCAAAAAAATGGATGGGTACTATTACACATGACTATAACTGACCCCTAATCTGTGGCCCTAGGTGCTCTAATTTTGCCTAAACCAGTCTGGTTGGTGGTTTCAACACATCCCGAAGTCAAACTTGGAACAACATCCCCACTGGCATGGAGTTAAAAAAAAACTGTCACCAAGTTTAAATAGAATTCACTGCCGATGTCCTTCTTTTGGCCAGCCCCTACTGGAGGTTGAACTGTAGATCCTTGTTCAAGAAGTGGGTACTTCATCTCTCTGGGGGTATCCACATCCAACCCCCTTGATCTTTCCAGCTTGGGGCCGAAGAGTTTTCACCATGCTTCCTATTGACCAGCCGGGAAAGCTCTACAAAGTACCAGAAGGGAATCCTGCTTATCAAAGCAAAGTCACAAGGTCTTCGGTGGTGAATTTCTATCTTTCTGATTCTTTCTGAACTGCGAAAAGAAAAGGGGTGTAGAATAGTTTTTGGATTTTTGTTTGCCTCAGGTTTCGTACCATTTGCCTTGTATTTGCAACAGCTTGGAACTAGAACCTGTCATTTTGCATGGTATTTGCTACACTCTGGCATGGTCACTTTGCATTTTGCATGGTATTTGCTACATTTGGCAATGTTCGCCTTCCATTTTGCATGGTATTTGCTACATTTTGGCACTTCAACCTCTCATTTGCATGGTATTTGCTACATTTAGGTACTTCAAACGTTGATGAGGATTTCTTGAGGGTTCTTCAGGCTTTCATTTGGGTTTCATCTAAGGTTTCATTTAAGGTTTCATTTAGGGTTTCATTTGGGGCTTCATTTAGGGTTTCATTTACGGTTTCATTTAAGGTTCCATTAAGGGCTTCTTTAGGTTTAGGGTGTCATTTAGGGTTTCTTCAGGAATTCATTTACGGTTTCATTTAAGGTTTCATTTAGGGTTTCTTTGGGTTTGGGGTTTCTTTAGAGTTTCATTTAGGGTTTCTTTACGGTTTCATGTAGGGTTTCTTATCGGGATTTCTTATCAGGATTTCTAAACGTTCAAATGGGTTTCTTTAGGGCTTCTTTAGGGCTTCTTTAGGGTTTCATTTTGGGTTTCTTTAGGGTTTCTTTAGGCTTTCGTTTAGGGGTTCATTTAGGGTTTCTGTAGGATTTCAGTTAGGGTTTCTTTAGGCCTTGTCTAGGGTTTCATTTATGGTTTCAGTTAGGGTTTCTTTAGGCCTTGTCTAGTCTAGGGTTTCATTTATGGTTTCAGTTAGGGTTCATTTAGGCCTTGTCTAGGGTTTCATTTCGGGTTTCTTTAGGGTTTCATTTAGGGTTTCTTTAGGGGTTCTTTAGGGCTTCTTTAGGGTTTCGTTTAGGGGTTCATTTAGGGTTTCTGTAGGGTTTCAGTTAGGGTTTCTTTAGGCCTTGTCTAGGGTTTCATTTAGGGTTTGATTTAGGGTTTCAATTTAAGGTTTCATTCAGGGTGTCATTTACGCTTTGTTTAGGTTTTCATGCCAGGGTTTCTTATCAGGATTTCTTTTCACGGCTTCTAAACGTTCAAATGGGGTCCTTTAGAGCTTCTTTAGGGTTTCATTTAGGGTTTCATTTCGCGTTTCTTTAGGGTTTCTTTAGGGTTTCATTTAGGGTTTCAATTTAGGGTGTAAATTTAGGGTTTCAGTTAAGGTTTAATTTAGTTTTTTTTTCAGAGTATCGTTTAGGGTTACTTGGGGATGTCATTCAGGGTGTCATTTAAAGCTTCTTGAGGCTTGAGGGTTTCATTTATGGTTTCAGGGTTAACTTATGGTTTCTTTAGGGTTCATTTGGGGTTTCATGTAGGGTTTCTTATCAGGATTTCTTTAGGGTTTCTTTGGGTCTCACCTAGGATCTCTCTAGGGTTTCATTTAGGATACAAACAGGAAAGAATAAAGCAAAAGAAAATGAAAAGCAAAGAGACAGTAAAGACAGGACGCAAAGAAGCAGAGGAGCAGGAAGTAGAGCAGCAATAGAAAGGCACAGAAGCACGAAAGCAGAGAAGCCGGGAAAACAGAGAAGCAGAAAAGCAAAGAAGAGAAGCAGAGAAGCAGCAAAAGCAAAAAGCAGAAAAGCAGTGGAGCAGGAAAAGCAAAAAGCAGAAAAGCAGAAAGGCAAAGAAGAAGCAGAGAAGCAGAAAAGCAGAAAAGCAGAAAAGCAAAGAAGCAAAGAAGCAAAAAGCAGGAAAACAGAAAAGCAGAAAATCAGAGAAGCAGGAAAGCATAGAACCAGGAACCCAAAAAAAAAAAAACCTCCAAAGAAAAACAAAAAGTGGAAATTGGAACCCAAAAAGACATGTATACCCCAAATCAAGTATCCAAAGCCTATGTTAGCCATTCAGATTGATCCCATTTTATTACATCTCCCATGTTTGGTGTGACCATCCCTATCATGCCATCACTTGAGTCATGAAAAATACTCTTATCCCATCCTGTACTGATGAAGCAGTATTCTCATCTTGGTTTATGGCAATGATAATGCCACAACCAACAATGACTATCCAACTGAACAATGGTATGATAAGCAACTAGTGGTGTAACCCACTACAACAACCAACAAGGCTAATCAAACCAAGCAGGGGTTCTCATAATTCATCATGTCATCAGCATCATCTGAAAATAACCCAGATAGCTTCACAGTCCAAGATAATCATCAAGCCATATATGGTTGTATCCTATTCTATTCCCACTCTATCTCCAAGCAACACCATTCACCAACCACAAGTTCTTAATTCCATCCCGCTGGTTAAACCCCATGTGGATGTGTCTGAAACTTGGTTGTTCATGTTTTTTTCGCTATACCTATGGCCGCCATGGCCATTTCGGCGATCGAAAAACCACCCTGAGACTCTCAGCGATTCGCCCCGTCCCGAGCGGCATGACGTAGATCTGCGTCACAATGTGCTGGCTGCTCTCGGGGTTGATCTTTTGTGCCAGCAGGGCAATCCACTCATCCATCTCCCAACGATACTCGACACAGAGATGCTTCCTTGGGTCCCCTATCAATGGGGTTTGTCTTGGTGTGGACCCTCCATAAATTGCCATGTTCATAGGGAAAATATGATCATGAAGGGATACATTGGGGTACCATATTTTCTGACAAACCCAATTAGGTATACAATTTGGAGCTAACTTGCCCGATGAATAGTGACTAGTCATGGTTCTTAGTCAGGGGTTGACATTAAACCAACATAAAGCTGGAAAGTGGTGCCCCCTGCACCCCCAAATTCAAATCTGCTAATTGTATGGAAAAGATTATGGCAGCCCATTGGAATTGGAATGAGTTTCAGAATTTCGAAGGGGAAAAATCTACAGGAAAACAGGACATGTTTACCATAAATGTTTCCCATTTACAAGCTGCAAACATGGCGTTTACCACGAACCATGCATGGGTGTTACCATTGTAATTCAAAGTCCCAGGAATCCTGGGTCATACACCTGCAGAATTGGGATTCCCAGATATAGCCTATGATGTAGCTGTGTAAACTAACAATGCTCATGAATCAGCATGTAACTACCCTGAGGTGATTTCATCCTGGAATGGAAAATCCACATTGATGCAGATGTTCCTCTATTTGTCCCTCAAATTGCTGGATTTCAAGTTAGACTACCTGAAGGTAGGGCGGGCAATCCCCATGAAACATGACCCTATCAGCAAAAAGTAGCATTTTGAACCATCAATTTTCCCAAAATCTGCCATCTTTGGTCCTTCCACAAGTCTCCAGGCACTCCCTTCATTTCCTAAGTACCCATCTACGTTCATCAACTAATGAGCACTATCCCCACATGTATCGTCCACATCTGGGGATGCTTCAAATTATGCAACCCGAAAGCCCCATGGCCCTATGGTCGATCATCATGTTTCCCAATTGGTTTTGCTGTGTCACCGGGTCACTCCATCTGGTGGGTCAAAACCCAATAAACCCAGATGGTAGCCTAAGTCATAGCTGGTAAATGGACGGTTATTCCCCCAGTCATATGGTAACAATATATAGGTTTTGACCCATCCCCATCTGCAGTCCGGGCATCAACAAGTGCGCCACGTTTTCGCGCACGATGAGGTCGTCGTCCAGCACTGCATGCAACAACTTCAGCAGGGTCTGCCGCTGTGGTCTGCCCGACCAAGGAGCCGTTAGTAATGCCTCGGTCGTGTTGATGAAAGCAGTTTGCTGGTTATTTGTAAGTGGGACATATTGCTAGATTGAAAACTATTGGCTAAAATAGTTCATAATCCCTTTCTTAATTGACCTCCCCACATGGGACCCCATCATGAAAACAGATTCATTGAAAAAACAAACACTTTTGGACAGTCTTACTGGGCCTAACATCCCCCCGCCTCAAGGTGAACAATTGGATTGGAACCCAGCCAGTGGTGTATTTTGAGTGCAGGGAAGGTCCCAACTCTTACGAAGTCACGCGCCAGCGGAGGTAAACTCAACATGATATCAATTGTACGGTCCCATGTTCATGCTTACATCCCCGTGTTTGATGGTTGAACCACCAGTTTTACAGAGATTGTATCGGATGACAAACACCACTTCGTCCCCAATTACCCTCTGGTAAACTAACATAACTATGGAAAAACACCATTTTCAATGGGTAAATCCACTATAAATGGCCATGTTCAATAGCTTTTTGTATGTTTACCAGAGGCTATTGTTGATCAATTTCCCCATATATATATGTATATATGATCCACATATATCCACATGTATAGGTCACATTTTTCTAGGTCACCCCGCATGATATCCCCATGTTATCTCCCCATTCGCCGCACCTCGGAGGCGTTCCGTCGCTGCTCCACGGCATCGCTGCGGAGGAGCTTGAGAAGCTGCCGCTCGTTGGACAGGACGTTACTGCGCAGCTGGGCTGGTGCCAGATTCTGCACATCTATGATATATTATGTATATGTATATCTATAATATATAAAGATATATCTATATCTATCTATCTATCTATCTATCTATCTATATATATATGGGTTCCCGTAGTCATGGGGCTACCCCAAAATAGCGGCTTTTGGTTGATTTCATGGTGACATCCTCTTAAAATGGAGGATTTGGGGGTACCCCCATTTTAGGAAACACCCATACATATGTATATATATATATACAATATTATGATACTGTACAGATGTTCCTATGTAAAAGATGCGTGTGCATATTTAAAGAGTTCTATGACCCCAAATGCACATGACCCTTATTTTGGAGGGTATTGACCCATAAAGTAGGAAGTGAATTATGTAGAAAAGGGGGTGTCTGTTTGTTTTCTTCGGGTCTGGGGACCCACCGATTTTGGAACGTATCCCTATATCTAGAACCTGACGTGCCATGTCCCTAAGGTGAATTTTGGAAAGAATCCCTCACTAACGCAATCCTCTCTCCGCCAACTGCCCACCAGTAGTCCTGGTATCCACGGTATATGACACACGGAGTTCCATGAGGTCAGCAGTCTTGGTGACATTGGGGCCACCCGTCGGCAGATGGTACTTGGCCGGTCCGCGTTTCGACTTGGCCTTCCAGCCCTGCAGCAAGCGCCCGGGATCGTCCATGCACATCGCCACCCTGGTTGAGTCCGGAGCAGGCCGCAGACGCGGCAGGGCGCCCGGCACGAAGGCTACCAGGGAGGGGAACAACAACCATCCCAGCAATCGAGGGCTAAGCCACCGTCGCCGTAGGCCCATGGCTGGGGAAAAAAATGGGGCTCTGACTGGTGATGGTTGATGGAGTTGGAAGTTTGTGAGGTGTCAAGTTGGGCTGAGGACCTGAATATCACTGGTGCTGCTGACCTCTGTATGCCAAAACAAAATCACAAAACCATGCTCTTAAGACAGGGCAGCTGGAGATGCATCAGGATCCCTACTAGATTCGAGGGATCTCTAAGACAGATTCCAAGAAACATGTCCCTGGAGCAGCAGAAATGCGGGGCATGCCCAAAGAGTTTCACCTTCAGGTCTCAATTGTGGACGAAACTCCCTCTTTGATGGAATTGACGAGGTTGCACCAAACAAATCTCCAAATTGCCCCCATGCTCTGATTAAAGAAATGCGGCCCTGAAACATTTTCCGGCGCATCACCCGAGCCTCTCTCGAAAGTCGGGCTCTGAAACCTGTCATCGAAACTACCATCACTTGCCCTGCCAGCTAGGCATGGCTATGCTTAGATACCTCGACCTCGCCCATGTTTTTTGGATATTGCCCCGATTGATCGCAAACAAACATACTGTTTGCGAATCTGTAAGACATCACTAATCCCTTCCCCGGCCGCAAGGTTAACCCAGTAGTGTCCCACAAGGACCATTGATTTCAGGTTGTCGGATGATAACAGAAAGCTTGTTGCTGACAACCGGCAACCAATTCATCCAGTTCATAGGGAAAAATTGGGTCTGTTACCATGTTCATAATCATCCAGAAAGGTTGTTGCTGATAACCATTCCTATGCGATCTGTATCATCGCCAAATCTCCTTTTTTGGGTACTCAATCTGACCCTCATCGCTGCCTACAGGGAGCTCCTTGTCAGCTTCATCGCCTGATACCTGGCAGCTTTTCTTTGCCGGAGATCTTCCACAACCGGTCTTCGACGTTTTTGGAAAACGTCCAGATCTCACCTTTTTGGAGCAAAATATCATCTTTCAAAGCTTAAGAAGTTCCAGGAAGGCACTGAGTTGCATCGAACTTGGGGAAGGTGGCACTGCCGAAAATGAAGCTTCGGGGTTTCATTTTCGGTCACTCTCAGCATCATCCTATAAATCCCTGATGTAGAACCCCTCAAAACCAACACAGAGATGTAGTGAAGGGAAGACTTCAGGTAGACTTCGGTTGATTGTCTTCTACTTCTCAAGGACACCAAAAAGCATCACATGCATTGCAGGCTACCCTGCCCAAGACAGCCATGGGATCAAAATAATCGGAACATCTACATAAATCAAAAGAATTAATCTACATATCTTTGATAAGGAACAATGATCTTCCAAGGATCAAAAGCTTCATTTTCGATCAGAAAATCATCCAGAGGTTGGCACCGTGGGCGTCTCTGTGGGCAGGGGCACCTCCTTAGCCCGGTCAGCCATAGACAAACTATGCCGAAATCATCACAGATTTAACCTCCTAGTTTCCAACAAAAAGTTCCCAACAAAAGTTGAGCAAGTTGGGATTTCAGAAATCCTTCAAAAAATCTCAAGTTTCATGATGGTTCCCTGTCCCAAAACAACCAATCCATTGAGGTTTGGGTTTTGTGGTCCCGGTCGGATTTCTGGATCTGGTGGTGACCCAAACTAAGCTGTTTCGATCGATGGATCTGATGCTTCAATTGGTTCCCGTTGGTTCCCGTTGGTTCTTATTGAGGCCTTAATTTGGTTTTCTGGGAAGGGGGGGGGTTAGCTCTCTATGACAATTGGTTCAATTAGTTCAATCCACCTGTTTTTCTTGGTGAAAGTCCAGGTTTTGAAAAACCTGATGGATCTGACGACTGCCTTGGTTAATCCAGGGCGCATCGGGAAACTCGTCGGCCTGGGCAGGAGCTGGGGGCTGCCATTGTGCCACGGGGGGTCTGGATGATCATAGCAAAAAGATTACACATTGAAACCACAAACAAATGGAGTACGATAACTTGGAAGTTCTGTGGATCTCCAAATGGTAAATTCTCCATCTGCAACCAACCACAAGACTAAGGATATCAGCAGCCAAAAAACTATCAAAAAACTATCACAAACCCCAATCCACCCCGAAAAAACAGCAAAATTGTGAGTGGAAGATAGCCCCAACCTGCAGGAAAATGGCTAGACCTCCAACATGAATGTGGTGCAACCCCCAACTACCAGGATGGATGGATGGATATGGAGGCTTCCATGGTCATGCGGTGTTTCTCAAAATGGATGGTTCATAATAACGGAAATTCTTATTAAAATGGATGATTTAATATGATTTAGGGGTACCCCTATTTCAGCAAACCTCCATTCTATAGATTTTCGTTGAACTAGTCGACACCAGGCCTTCTTTTTTCGGTGCAAAAATCCATGAGGCAAAGCCCGGTGATTTCATCATGGGCCGCAATCATCGACAACCCTCGTTGCGATGAGTTCTACACAAGACATCCTAACACGGGCAATATCGTAACATGGAGCAACAGCTGTCCAAACAATTTCCTGCCACAGTTCCATGGCCACAAATCCCCAAAGGGGATGGTTCACTCAGGAAGGTTGGCTTCATTCAAGCCGCTGAAGCTCCGGATTCACATGATCGAAGGGTGTTCAAGATCACTAGTCATCACTTTCATCACCGTCCTCATCCTCGTCCTCATCATTCTGGTTTGGACAGTCATGATGAGGCCCACAGCCTTCGCACAAGGTGGCATCACACTTTTCGCAATTGTAGCCGTGCCGACCACAGCAGGAATGCCACGAATCAGTACCCGAGCACTCACAGTGCATGGTCTTTCCTTCTGCGAAGCATTCATGGCAATGAGACTTGGAAAAATCCGGACATTCGCTACAAGGAACAAAAAACTTGGAGGGCGCAGGTTCAGCACAGTTCTGGCACCACTTCCCGCAGCAGTCCTCACACTCCAAGGCATCATCCTCGATGGAGGTCCAATCGCGACATTTGTCGCAACAGATCACATCCTGCTGGGAATATCATCGATGGAGATGAAGAATGAGCAATTCGGGCACCAATCACATATCTCAACGGGTATATATTTATGTCTATATAGATATAGATACATATACATATATATAATTATAATTATTTATATAGGAAGCTTTAATGAATTGAAGAAACAGAAAACAGAGGTACCACAAAAACGTCGGACTGCTGGCTGGTGCAGGGTTCAGGTGATCCTCAAAGCCCGTGTCCTTGTCTCTGAAATATATGTATCTTTCATACAACCTCTCAAAGTACTGTCTTCCACTCTCATCAGCTTCTCGTTCAGGCGCTTCGACTTGATCTCCACGCTGCGTTTCCCAGCAGTCTGCAGTGTAGCTTCGACACAAAGCTTCCCAAAGTTCTGGTTGCTGAGTCAAGCTCTGAATGTCTTTCCGACAAGCTGCTGCTCTTAGCAGCTCAACTGCATCCAGAAAGGGCAACACCAACTTTAAGCACCTGGAAGTGTCCATGGCAACGAGACTCGGCGAGACGTCACGACGTCCCTTAGACAGGTTTGATCCAAACGAACCATCAACTGATGCTTTGCCGCTGTTCCCTATTTCTATATCTAGGCAGCCCCAAAAAAATGCCATTGACCAAAATGGGGTGTTAGCTTAGGGTTCTCCCAGATAGAGGTTCGGTCCAGCTTCCGGTGCAGGTTCCAGGTTGGTTCTGGAAGTTTTGTCCAGCTTCCAGGGTGGTTCTCGACATGCCGTTGTTGTGGTTCTGTAGGTTACGCGGTGGGTTGAAACTTGATTGGTGTTCAGTTCAAGGGCCTATATATACCAGCTTTGCTGTTGGGGACTGCACCTACTTCTTTCCTGAAAACTGCAGATAAACAACTTTGGATCGATACCCTCCGGTATATAATCAAATTAATCAAACATGACTAGCTGGAAACTGCCCGAACTGAAAGTTCACGTGAATGGGAAAATCCATGAAAAATGGATTACCTTCCATGTTTCATGATCATGTAGATGACCATTTGCAGGCGATTTCCCTATATGGCTTGAACGGACCCATTGCCCCCGGAGCCACCTCAAAGGCAGCAGACACAGGAGGCTCCTCGTAGGCCTGCTCCCTACCCACCTGAGCCAGAAGGGGGAAAAAAACACCCGAAGATGGGCCCAAGATGGAGGTTTCCTAAGCAAAAGGGGGTACTCCAAAATTCCCAATGGCTGGATGGGTTATTTCATGGAAAACCCTAAACCCTATCTAAATTATTTTGATTTTATATAAATGGATGATTTGGGTGTACCCATGGATTGGAAACCTCCGTATGTTCCGGTCCGAAACTCACCACCATATCTGGATCTGCACCCCAATACAACGAACCCAAAATGACAAATCAACAACCATCCTTCAACAGGAAAATACCCAAAAAAACATGGTTCAACGCCTGGTTTTTTTGGGGGGGTCCTTTGGAGTTCTGAAAAATTGGGTAGCGCACCATGGTGCACCTGCGACACCTGTGCATCCCCGCTCCAGCAATTTCCTCCTTTGGCGGGATGGAGGCGATGGAGGGTGCATAGGCTGCACCTGACCCACGGCAGATGACTGCTGTGATAGGATGAAACCGGTGTCACAACTCTCCAGCAGATACCAAGAACTGGTTGGTGGTATACCTACCCCTTTGAAAAATATGAAAGTCAGTTGGGATGATTTTTCCCAATATATGGAAAAATAAAATTAATGTTCCAAACCACCAACCAGAGAAAACGTGATCTATGCTGCGGCCATTTGAGTGTCCGGCTGTCAAACTCAATGTTTTGTCCCTGGCACACAGCGCGAGGTAACACCGCATGGCTCTTCATGACATGGCTAATGATCTGTCATAACACGAAGGTCCAGAGTCCAACTGAAAAAAAATAGGGGGGTTCGAGTGAAAAATCACTGTGTTGGACTCGGGCCTGCCTCTCCCCTTGCTGAAGCAAGAGTAACTCCAGCTAGCTACCGCTAGCTTTCGTGAACTGTAAGGACTGCATAGTCAGGTTCATTCATGTGACACCAAATAGTTTTCCTAGAAACAGTGTATTCACACTGGCCCGAAATAGATGTCCATTCATCAGGGCAAAGGCAAGGTTCAAATATATGCAAAAAGAATTCACTGGAAAACATTGCCAAATTTTGGGGATGACTGGATGCTTCCTCCATATCCTACTCAACATTCATCATTTGGGGCCAGGGCGCCTCTGAGGGCAGAGATAGGAAGGGATTGTAGGCAGGTTCCTGGTCGGCGCAGAATCCACTGAATATCTTTGCAAACGCCTAAAATCAACAACTATACATGAAATTGAGTTTGTCTCGAAGTTGGATCCACAAATTTCCATGGAAAAGCTGTTCCCTATCAAAATTGCCACAAAATCAGGAAGCCAACTATATTAACTAACTATATACTATACACGGCGAAAAATAGGTCCGACTTTGGACTTGCACCATTTTCAGCGGGCAAAATCTGGGACCCCTAACCTCACGAGATAGGTTGTGGCACCATAGGTTGTGGCAATCTCCCATAGCATAGCCATGGAAAACGAGGGCCATCGAAATTACAGGATGTTACAGACCTTCAACGGTGCCACAGTGCCACTCCAGTCCGTCAACCCCTGGACCCCCTGGACCCCGAACCCATGGAGCTGGGAAGTCTTCCCCTTTCCGATCGTCGAACTCCTCAGCTGAGTCTACAGTCTGCCGCAGGACTCCATTGGGTGTCACCTCCAAGGTAGTTTTTGTTCATCTGGGTGTGCGTCAAAATCATTGTGCGTCGTCATGGCGACTAAGGGCATGCTGCTGGATAACTACTAATAAATCTATATATATAGACAGTTGCAACAATCGGAATCGTTCAGAGGAACAAAATCCAAATACAGTTATAACTACGGAATTTAACCTATACGGCTATACGTGAATGATAATCATCAGCATAATCAGAAAAATACAGTAATTTTCCTGTTTCAGCCACATGAGGTTCCACTCGGGATCAATCCAGCCAGAGTGTCAGAATGAATCATCCAACATCTGGAGACGTTCTCATCGATACATTGAATTAGGACAGGTCAACATGCAGGAGACTGTGGACTTTGAGCAGTCATATAGGATGGTGCCCCCCAGTTATAAGTTGGTTCATAACCCCCATGAACTAGTTCGTTATATCTACCATAGACCGCAAATTAAGTCACTGAATTCTCCAAACCAAACGCTTCACTCCCATCTCAGCTGGCCACTTGATCCGCAGGTGGGTGGTAAGTTGTCACCTGGCATCCGTGAATGCTTCACCAAAGTGCGATGGTCCAATCTTTGACCCACAGACCCATAATGCTGAGCAGCTGGGGGCATGACAGCATTCCCCCTCCAGTTTCGTGCGGAAAGCTGTTCATTGCAAGATCGGTCGGCGCTTGAGGCGTAATTGTACCTCTTTTAGAGCTTCGCAAAATGTGGAAAGTTCAAAAATATGATGGCTATCGAAAATGGACCATAGAAATAGCTGGTGTACCTCTTGAACTGCTTTTCCAGTTCGCTATGTTATATAAAAATTACCAGTGGGTATATCAAATATCCTCCATGTGGAGGCAGGTTTGATACAACTTCCTGGCATCCCTGACATCCAGTGCCTTCTTGTCGCGTACCTGGCTGCAAGAACTGTGGGATGTACCATTGGCTTTGTACCCTCTTGGACAAAGTCATGGCTCAAATCATTTCATTTGAATTGGATTTTCCATGAAATTAACCATCCAGCTATTGGGGTATCCCCATGATTATGGAAACCTCCATTTCTGCTTCCGCAAATGTCAACATGACCAGCGAATGTCTTCTAGAGCTCGGGCCTTGGCGTCTGTCTTCTTCGTCTTCAGGCCCGACCTGCCAAGCTTTCAAGGACACTACTTGGGGCTGGAAACTGGTCAAGGTTGATGTTGCACCACTAAAACACCCGTGATAAATCCATATAATATATACAGTATGTATAATTATTATACATATATATATATATATATCCCTGACTGACAAATGATCTAGTTTCTGTTCCAGGCTGCGCTTCTAGTAATACGGGACCGCCGGCAGTGGGATGCAGCGCTGGAAACATCTCTGTGATGGCGATGCTCTCATTCAGAAGCATTGTGAGAATGTGGTGTATGTGTTTTATATGTGTTTTATTGGCATCAATATACTTAATAGTGGTTATATATGGTTATATTATCTTATATTAATGTGTTTTAAGGACAGGAGGAGTACTAGGAGGATATGTTTTTTTGTACCACAAGTCATGCCAGAAAATGACCGTTGAATGTCCGAGATCCAAACACCAACAGCTTCATGACGCCATTCCTCGGGAATCCCGTTGGATTGGTGGGCAATCAACGAAACCTGATGCTCCGAAGAACTAACCACTGGCGGCCACTAGTTACTAGCTATTCACCATTAAAATAAGCCATGAATAAGCCATGATTAACCACTAGTTACTTTGGTTTCTCTGAAAATCGATGAACTCTAACATCCGACCTCCGCCGGTTCACCTGGCCGTGAAGCATCAGTTACCATCCATCAGTTGGGCCCCAAACATCTCTCTGGAGAACCAAGCATTCTCTTTCCACACGGGAACCTCAGTGCGGCTGGATGTCGCTGGGTCCAGCGAAATCAGGGAATGGGATGATAAGTTTCATAAGGGGACGAAGAATCTTGGAATATCTTGGGTAATGTTCCATGTATATCCATAGATGCCATAACTGGGTCGATAATCTTGAATCAATCTTTGATCATATTATGTAAGTAATCACAATTTTTAATGGGAAAATTCACTATAAATGGCAATTTTCAATAGCTATGTTAGTTTACCAGAGGGTAACTTCAAGTGTTTCTTGATGTTTCTTGTGATTTGCGGCTCATCAGTCTCCCCTTGCTGCCCAGTGGCCAGCTTTTTCAATAGGTAAGTCGACACCTTCGCCCTGATCATGGAAGCACAAGAAAGAAGAGTCATGGCAGTCATAGGAAGTTGAAGTCTCTTCCAGAAATCTTCCTGGTTATCTGAGTTATCTGTGCCCGCATTCACCCAGGCCTTGTATCTTCTCCTGGTTGGGGATGGCGATACAAACTGCTTGACATGAAGGAAGGAAGAATAAACACGCTCGGGGAGAAGTGTACACCTGGTACACCTTGCTCTAGCATTGATGTTCAACAATAACATGCCTTGCAGGGTTACCCAGAAATAAAAGTCACAGCATCGGTGCAACAGGATATCTGGGTGTTGCTTTATATACACCAACAACATCCAACAACAGCGTTGCAAGGATAAGATGATCATCAACCCCAGCAACGATATATGGCTGCAGGGCTCATCGGCAGCCACAACAGTTGTTGGTTGTACTGGGATGGTCACCGTGGCCTTTGAAAATGGTGACTTTCCATCAGGGAATTTCCAAATGTGTCCCCAAGATTGGTTCCTCATTTTGATGCTTTGAATTTGCTCAAGAATCATGTTCAATCATCTGAAATACCCACTTTGCTTGTGAACCCAACGCTTTTCCTGTTCCAAATATCCCACATTCGGGCCATGATTCTCACGTTTTTTGGGGTGATTTTCAGTGGTATAGATCTTCTCCCCATGGATTTTCGTCCAAGGCTCTTTGCACAGCAGAGCGGAAGAGCTCAGCGAGGTGCGGTCCGATGGCGCGCTCGAACTTCTTCGCCTCGAGAAGGCTGTGTAGGTTGTGGCCAAGGATTGGTAAACTAACAGTTTGCTGTTGAAAATGGCCATGGAAATAGTTGATTTACCCCTTAAAAATGGTGATTTTCCAGTTCGTTATGTTTGTTTATCAGAGAATAATAAACTCCCAAAATCACCACAGGTGGTATAAAGCATAGTTTGAAACATGTCCCCAAGTGGTAGGTTATTGGCTTGCCAACACACCGAAATGGGATTCCAGCAACCAAAACACCCAATGATCCTAGGTCCTAGACCAACAAGCGATACTTCGCCAGCTGACATGGCTAAACCTTGCCATTTCCAAATGAATTTACCCTTGGAAGTGTCCCGTTTCCAGGTCCCTCAACCGAGAGAAAGCCAACTTGAGCCACTGCTAATCCTACCAAGTAATTTCTGCTGCTATCATCCATGCATCAGCTGAGGATGGCTTCAAGTCAAATACCGTGCTCGCCAAACAAGTTGCAGCTCAAGTTGCCATGTTCAGATCTGAGTTCAGCACTACAGTTTCACTTTCTTTTTCAGCATGGCGCATTATGGAATCCACCACGAAGAGAAGGTTCTCCTGGTGGATTCCACAGGGAGTCACCGGTTCAAAAGGTGGAAACCCTTGGAGCTTCGGTGCAGCTGGGGATGATGGAAAATATGTATGACTGATGCGGCCGTTGCTGAGATATCCGCATTTCTTACAACCCTGACACTGGCAACAAAGAATCCCTCAAAAAGTGCTTCAAATTGAAGGAAAAAACTGCAAATACTCTGCCATTCTTCGTCAGGTGTTGCTTGGTAACATGCTTATGTGTTAAGTTTTATCCAATTTTCACAAGTTCCAGGTTCATACGCGTTTGCCCAACCGGATACCCCAAAACTATCTAAAACTACTGTTTTAATGGGAAAAAATATGTGTTAATCCATGAATAGTGAGAGTGTTTTTTTGTCCGAGAAAATACTCCAAGAAAGCCCAAAATATTGCCAATCAATATGATAATAATATGTCAGAAAATAATGTATCTTCTGGTAATTAAAGATAGCTATGGAAGCCATGGGCTATTTATATATATATATAAATGATTTTCCCAGCTATAAACCTCTATTTAGTTTGGGGATTTCCCAGCTAGCCATTGTTGATTATGAAATCCCTCTTTGTTGATGGTTCCCAAGGCCAAAATCCCTCGGAATTTCTCCCGGCCTTCACCGCTACGGGGTCGCTACAAATGTCCACCAGGCGCTGCACGAAGCCGCGGACTTCGACACCTGGAGAGTTTCAGGCTGAAATTGGGTCAATGGCCATTTCAGCCATATATAAAGCCTATGTAAGGCCTATATAAGTGGATATACCATGATATACCCCCAAAATATGGCCTTATATGGTACAGTACCTCCATTTTAGGATCCTGGAATTCCCATTGATTGGGTGGGGATTCTTTGTGCAGCCCCCAAGTTTTGAGAAACGACCAACCTGAAGCCCTTCTGGGACGCCGGCCACTGTTGTGTCGGCTGACTGCGATCCGTGCTGCAGCGTGCACCTTCAAAAAGATACGAAAAAAGATCTGTGAAGGTCTTGGAGTTGTGAACCTTAAACTTACACAGTGAGATACTATGAGATACCTTGAAAAAAAGGCCGGATTCAGTCCTGGCACCATTTTTGTTTCGGTCTTTTTCACAGCTGGGCATGGCAGTGTCCTCAAAGTTCGCATCGAAGAATTATATATGCTCTTTGAGAGGAGAAATCATTCGTTGGGGAGTTCCCAACTTTCAGGAAACACAACAGGGATCTCACACCGCTGTGTTGATTGGATTCAGCCCAATTGACCCATGAAACATCCATGGAAAAAGGTTGCACAAACAAAATGATGCGGCGCTGCTAGGATTTATGCCAAGTTCGGTCGCAGCAAATGCTGAGTGCCGTTTGGTTTCTCAATACAAAAGGAATCGATCCCTTCGAGAGAAACTCTGCAGGATTGAATGAATGCAAGCAGATTTGAACGGTTAAATCATCATTAAATGCCACAGCTAGAACCCAAACATAAATCAACTTTCATGAAAATGTTGAAACAGACCTGACCATCCCCCGAAACGCTTCCAGCTCTCTTTTTCTCAGAAGTAACTGCCAGTATCCCAACGAAAATCATCTCCACCTCAGATAGACAGGTGGATACGACCACCGCTACCGTGGACGGGGACCCAAAAGCTGCCGCTGCCGCTGCGGGGAGCCGGACACTTCCGCGGCAAGTAAGGATAGTCGTCCTCACCATCTCGATCCATCCTGTGCCCAGGAGCGGGGACGTGGCTACCCAAATGGTATGGCATTGGTATGGTAATCTTCCAACAAACCTAGGGGCACCCAACAACTTTGGCCAACTTGGTGAATGCCATCTTCACTCCCACTGTGCCCAGCCACCTGTAAGTGCTGTACGCCAGCTTCATGAGGCAATTCTCCTGAGTTTCGCTACCACACTGGGGAAGGCCAGCCAGTGGTTTGAACCCATCTGAGAAACATTCTTCGGGGATCATCCTCCCCAATGGCATTGAAAATGAAGAATACAACAAAATCATCTAAAACCACCAGCCAGCAAGACAACTGCACGCTCCAACTTCTCATTCATCCGCTACCAAGTGGCTGCATCTCCGATCATCAACAAAGACGCGACCATATCTTCCCCCCGTGCACGAAATGGCCTGCGATCCAGGTCAAGTTGGGGAAGTGCATTTTTTGGGGGGCTCTCTACCAAATGATAATTCAAAGTGTGATAAATGCTGAATAACTCTATAGATTATAGAGTGATTTTTCCCCGTCAGAATTGAGGGTCTATGGGTCCCTCCAACTCCAGTCGCGGATCGCCTCACAAACTCATAGGCCTTTTTCAAAATGTTGAATCCCTCAGCCATGTCACGGTGCACCGTGGAGAAGTATGCTCTGGTTGTACCCTGTCAAGAAGGGAAGACATCTATTGCTGATGTAGGCGATCATGCTCAACAAAAATGTAGACCTGTTTTAACTTGGGAAAGCTGAAGAATCACTGTTCTATCTCAAGAATTCTTTCCAGAGAAACACAATGCACGAAACCCCGACACCTTCCGCTGGAAAAAAAAGAAATGATGATTCCTATAGAAGTTGATCTCAAATCAATATCATCAACATCCCAAATTCATTGGTACTATGGGGTTCCTATGAATTAAATCTGTAGCTGGATGGGGCTCACCCGAAGCCACCAGGTACCTGGGCACCCTGGGCCAGCCCGGCACGATCCGATGATGTCGCGGCACGGAGCTGCGTTGGGCTGGGCTCCACTGGTGGCACGTTGGGATCTCCATCTGCGATGCCGAGGATGGGTCAGGATGTTGGGTCAATTGGGAAGATGTACTTCATGGATCTGTAGCTGGATCGTCAATGCACTTCATAGATCTTCATGGATCCCCAGGGTATCTTCATGTCCCTGCATAAACAACCCAAAAACAACCCTTGTGCGTGGAAACACCATGGTACCAGGGGGGGGTGCAACGCAGATGTTTCCATGGCAAATCATTGGTTGGTACGGGGAAGATCAGCAAAAATGGGGAACAACCATGGGTATCCGGGTATCCATTGCGAATGTTCACCAATGCTTGAGGTACTCTAGGTAGAGACATCATGCGCTTCTGAGCATGTGAAACTGGTTCCCACAAGAGGGCCAATAACTTCCAATTCAAATCGAAACACGAAACCATATGGCAGTGTGTCAAAACCTTGTACCCCTGGTGAACATCAAAATAGCTGGTAAATGGATGTTCATCCCCCTAAAAATGGTATGTATAGGTATTGACCCATAGCCATATAAACCATTTGTAGAAAAAAAAAGTTCTCCAATTCAAAAAACAATGCGAAGCTCTGAGGAAGGTCCAATAAGTCCAATAGGTCAAGTTCTTTCGGCTCCAGTTTCCCTATCATTGAGCTAGCCGGGATTGGTCCAAAGCTGACAAGAGGTCGCGCCCAGCCATGCCCGGTTTCCAGCAACAATCCACTGGTGAATCATCAAATTCCCCATGAAAAACAGCATGAAATTGCCATATTCTGAGGAGTTATTCCCAGTATTCCCCCCTGTTCAAACACATCCAAAATAGACCGACAAGTTGGAAAAACAGGGACTGTCTGAGATCCGCACTTTGCTGCTGGTTCAGCACTATCGCCTGGAAAAAGCCGCCGAAAATGGTGAATGGCCCTGGATGGTGGATTTCGCCCAATTGTTGCAGCCAAATGCAGAAAATCCCTCGGGTTCAAACCATGGATGAGATTCCAATTTGGAGCAACTCTGTATCATAATTTTGGGTCAACTGGGTGAAGCAGGTTGTTTCGAGATGCAGGGTATGAAGCCATGGTCCGCACCTGAAAACTGCTCTTGTTGAGTCCGAGCTTCTGTAACATGGCTTCATCCTAAGCAGCCGTCAATGGCCCTATCCCCTGTATTCGTGCCCCATAAATACCTGTACATGTGTATAGCTAGGTAGATAGTCTTCGTTTGCACACAATGTCAGCACGTCGGCAGATCATCACTGGAAATTCCCTGCAGATTTGAATGAATGAGACAGTGGGCACTTGCATGGCGTTTGGCACCGAAAATCCAAAACACCTTCAAATGTATTTTTAAAAAACTACCAACCTCCCCAGCTGATTTCAAGGTGATTCGTTTGCATGGACAAGGTCTTCATATGCACGTGTTGCATTCAACGTCCGCTGCCGGTGTTCCTTCGTCACAATACAGTTGACGTTTCATCAGGACATCAAGATCTTTTGACATGGCAAGGCAGTTTTCTGCGCATCCGCATCAGTGGCTATTTCTCAACTTCACAAGCCTGCAAGTTTCACCGAAAGTACTGTCCATGTGCCACGGACCAGCCAGTTAAAGAAGCTTCACATGCTCATGGAATAGACATACAACCCAAATGGTCAATCTGTCCTGATCAGCTTAGAGATTTCGGTTCCCTGCTGCCCAGGGACCAATTGAGAGGCGATTCCAAGTTCTCCGCTGGAATTGGACTCTGCTCCTTCGATCTGCCTGAAGCTGGCTGAGTGGAAGATCAACATGTGTCCTAATCTTAGCAGCAAAATATCTTCATGTCAATGATGTTCCTGTATATAGTCCAAATTCAAACAGTAAGTTTCCATCTGGGTCTGAAAATCATATGAAGTCGCCCGAAATCCACTGGTCTATCGTCATTTTCCCAAGTAAAAGTGCCGTTTTGCAGGTACACCCATCTACCCCCAAAGAAATATCGATTGTATTATCTCCCATTTCATATCCCAGTAGTGTGCATTCATATTCCACATCGGCAGCTCCATGTCCCTTCGCCTAGAGCTTTGCGCCGACACCTGAGGTCAAGATTTTTCAGTTGCGGCGGCGGTGTGGCAGCTCCAAGCGAAACAGAAAGACATGTCTTTAGCCATACACCGCCATTTTATGGCTGAAAATTGATCTACTGAAGTACTCCATTGGGGTTTACCCAGACACCACTAGCCTCTAACGGTCGCACCTGCTGAATTTCCAGACCATGCCCGGTAGCTTGCAATGCTTGGTGTCGCTGCCCATGACGTTTCTGTCCATGGCAGTGGAGCACGCTGGGGCTGGTTTGGACTTCCCAACATCTGCGCCTAGATTGCCTGATTCAAAAATGGGCGCTGTTGGATTCCCAAATGTAAAACACTGGTGACAAACATTTTGTCAAAATAAGCCTCACGACTTACAGGATGTTGATGTAGTATAGCAACACATCCTGCAGAGGCATACCCCACCATGGACTGCAATTTGCCTCTCGTGGCAAACACGCTCGTTCTATCAAGCACATGGAATGCTCTTGAATTTGATGACACACTGTGTGAGCTGCTAGATTCTGGATTCCAGGCTAATGACAACCATCCCCTTTAACACGTGGACAAAGTTCACTCATGTACAGTATCCCTTTTTGCGACAAGCGCCCAGCCTTGTTTTTCTTGTGTCCAGCTCTAGCACGATGACGACTGAGGCAACAGCGACCCCGACAGCGTGGCAAATCTGTAAACCAGCCCATTGGTGGCCTCCAGTTTGACTCCTATACATGTGTCATTGGACCCCCACCTTTGGAGGAGAGATGGAGCCTCACCGCCCTTGGGCCGGTCGACAACCGGAGCTTCGCCTGACAGAAACAGAGGCCTGCTAAGGATGTCTCAATGGACCTTTGCAACAAAATATGATTGGATCTATGATCTATATGATCTATGTACTATCCAAGACTGACTAGGTTTCTCAGGTGGTTTGAAGTTCACAAAATTCACAAATCATAGCCCAACTAACTGCTAGAGGAATGTGCACATTGCCATGGGCGCCTTGTAGCTGGTCATAAGTCACCCAAGCGCCATGGCCCGCCTTCAGGCCAAGGCCCTGCGGGCTGCTAAACGACCTACGTAGGTATGATAAATATATATATAATTATACATATATATATATATAGAATTATACATATACATATACATATACATATACATATACATATATATATATATATTATGTATATATATATATATATTTGTATATGTATGGTCACCACCCCCAGCACCCCCCAAATTGAGGATTAGGTCGTTGACCATATATAAATTGAGGACTAGGTCGCTGACCATATATAAATACATTAGAAACAATAATAAGTCATTGTCACTACACCTTCAGAATTCCTGCCTACCCCATTTTCTGGAACGGCCCCACCTCACGTTGCCCGCTACATCTGGGGTTGAAACGGAAAATCATTTCACCCGAAGACTACAGCACATGTGCGCAAAAAAAAACGTTGTACAGTGGATAGGTGTATGTTGTGTATTATATACATATATATACATATGTATATGTATTTATGTATATTATATATAAGATATTCATATATACATACGCATGCATTACATGGGGACCTCAATGTTTGCTCCAGGATCATCGTGAGACGTCTACTGAGCCCAGAAGCCCAACCATTTGCAAACAAGGCACTAGAAAGAACAGCGACGCATGCTTCATGAACCGGCGACAACCTGGCAGGCTGTAGCATGGCATGAAACATGGGAAATTCATGGGAATGTCCATCTTGGAACTGTATTGCCTGGAGCAAAAATCATGGCCAGTCTACAAGATGAATTTTGGACTGTTTTGCTAAAACAGTTTGATTCCTTTGGACTGGACTGCTACAAATTATCACTATCTCCAGACAAGTGTTGTTGCTCAAAATAGGCGGGAATGGGGTAAAACTGATTCGCCAGTCAAAGATGGATGGATCTTAGATGGTGCCCAGGTTCAGGCGAAATCCCAGGGATATCATGTTACAAACACCGCTGTCTAACGTAACTGGCTGTAAGAGAATCACTTGATGACAGTGACTCCCATGTCCCAGGCCTCACATGTAACAGACCTCGGTCTGGCATGGCCTGATCCTTGAGCCACATGGCTCTGGAAGGAGCGGCTACCTGGCTACCTCTTCACCCTTCAAATAGGGGTGGGCACAACTCACCAAAAAATGTCTGTGAAACCATCTGCAAGTGCTGATTTTGAGCCACGGCAATATGCATGCTGATAATAACAATCCTGTGCACAAGTTTCAGACTGATCCTCATGGAAGTGCTGTGACTATGAAACTCATCTCCTAAATATGTTCAAGACCAGCAAGAACATACACAACCAGTTCGGAGTCGGCGCGACTTGCCTTCTCTTTCAATGCATCTCGACTCTTGTGCTCGGTTGCGGCTCGACCTAAGGCCAGGATGAGGGGAGCAGATCTTGAAGGCTTGGTAAGGCATCCAGTTTGGAGGTACAATCATGTTGTGCAAAAATGCATGACAAGCAGGTACAGGATGGTACAGGTAGAGGGGGGGGGCCCTTTGTGGCCATGTCTGCATGTCTCGAGGATCTCAAGCTCAAGAATATTCGTGAACCCCCAATGCCAAACACCTCGAGTTGGGGATAGTAAAATAACGCCATCATTTTGAGAATGGCTATGGTTTGGGGTTTACCACAAGCAGTCTTGAAAAATCAAATGGAGGTATGCGCCCGTTTGAAACCGCCATTTCTTGATTAAAACCACCATGTTGGTGGGTTTCCCAAGTTTGAGCCACACCCCAAAGGGGCAAAACGCAACCAAACTTTAGAGATTTTTCTGACACAGTAAACCTGCCCACTTGATGGGCACAGTGGTTCCAGGGTTCAAGGGGTACCGCTGAGTGCACATGCAGAGTGCCATGTCATACTGACGCATGGCCGCCTCAAGGTGAAAACCCATATGGTCCCCTGGAGTAGATACTACCGTTCTGGGGAGATATTTCGTATTAGGGGGATGGCATTAGTAGTCAAGATGAACCAATAAAAACACAACAGAATTGATGCAATCAAGAATCTAGAATCTAGAACAATGAAAACAAGGATGTGATATCGCAACCAATCTGAAGGACTCAGATATAGAAATCAAAATGTGATCAACATTCACAGGGATGTAGCTACCTTTCCGATCCTTTCTGGAGGTAATGGGAATTAGTATCTAATCAATAACGGGGCAGCAGCAGCAGCAGCGGCACCTAAAATGTATTTGCTTGTTGTATATCCAGCAACCATCCCTAATGTGAGTCTTGCAAGGAATGAGCAAGTCAAAGCATTCCCCCAATCCAAACGCCACATTTAGTTTCCCTCTGTTTCGCCGGACTAGAGACCCTGTGATAATGGTGTTGTCCTTCTCCCAGGAAACCTGTGTTCTTATGAGATCCTATTGGACGTCATATTCGGAAAAAAAAAAACAAGACCCTCTATTTCCAGCAACACATGACTTATCGCAAAGTCCCTTCTTTTTGCGCTTGGAGGTCCACGGTCCACCTGGGCCCCAGATGATCCCATAAATTATCCCAGAGTGGCTCCCCCTGTGCCCCGGCCTGCCGAGCTTGTGTTGTTTGCTTCCTTGCTGGCGGCATGGCGTCGCGTCCACCGAGCAGCGAGAAATAAAACTTGCCACGGCTGCTGCGGCCGGGCTGCAGATGTGCAGGGCTAGCAACTCTGTTGCAAGGTCAGTAAGATCTGAGGTAGGTGATGTTGCTTTTCATGTTACTTCATTTGTGAGATGGGTAGATACTGAGTAAGATAAAAATGTTGTGTGTTTTTTGTCCCATGTAGCAGAAGGAGGCCAAATTCTCAAAGCGTAACAATCACTTGCTAATTGTCACAACCATTTCAACCAGAAGACTAGTTTTCACAACTGCGTTTCACAATGTGTCATTCCATGTGTCTGAAGTCTACACGAAGAAACTTGTGTCTTAGCCAAATGCAGTCCTCAAGTCGGTGATTCCTTTCTCAAGAAGCCGACCTCAACCCAAAGTCAGGCCAAGAGTATGTCAACAGCACTTACCAGGCGAAAATCAAACAAAAAGAATGCGGCTCAATTTACAAATATTAAGAAGTGGGGTTTTGAACAGAACTGAACACATTTTTCGTATGTCTATCCTGCCAAACCCTTATTTGTCTCGAAACATGTTGCAATTCAAGTCCTGATCTGTTTCAAATCTGCAACCATTTCACCCAGTAAAGACCTGAATTTTGTTGGATTTGTTTCGTGTGTTGGCAACCACGGTGCGGATAAGTTCACCATTGGGCATCCCCAAAGCATATCATCCCGGACGCCGCAGGATTGACATTGCACAAAACCGGTGGATGTCAATTCCCAATCCGACACCCCATCCTTTCGCGTTGCTGCGGCAAATGGACCATGTGTTTCTAGATCTCGACAGCGACTTTTTCCGCATCCACCGTGCAGTGTGGCTCTGTGTCCTGCTTGTCCCCTCAGCCAAAGAGATCGAACTCCATGTCTTCCTGCTGAGAGGGAACCTCATGTTGAGGCCTGGAATGTTCAGTCATGGCCATTGAAGCTCACTTGGTGTAGAACTGGTTGCTAGTTGCTTGCAGTTTTAATTTAGAAAGTGGTTGGCCGTTTATCCAGGATCACTGTAGACCCATGGCCATTGCGTATCGCTTTTACATACATATTTCTCTGGTTCAGCCACCAATCCCGAACAGGATGGGACCATCTCCCAAGCCCAATTCCTCTTCTTCCTCCTCTTCGACCTGCGTTGGTGGTTCATTTCAAATGCTCATGGCTTTGTCAAGTTTCAAAACATGTTTTCTGGGAATTATTGGAAAATTAAAATGACACTTCTGGTTGTTGAAAGGAGGGACTCTGCACAAGTTAGCACACTATTTAACGGATTGCTGTAGATCTTCTCACTCTTGTCTGCTTGGGCTCAATCTCTACACTAGACCAACATGGTGACCATTTGTATTGTAGGGGGGAGGCCATGGCGGCCATGGATCAAAACCATAGTAGCATCGCTACTAAGCAAAGTCCCATCCCTCCAATATCAGATTCTCTCATATGAACCCCCAAAATTAATAGACCAAATATATGTGTATATATATATACATACATCCAATACGTTCTGGTGTGTTTGTCAAATATTAATTAGGATGGAACTATGGATAGTCTTCATCCCCTCATTTGTATGGAAAGTAATCTGTCTGAAATACCCTAAATCCACCGATTACAATCATGGTTTTGCCCATTAAATGGCCCATACACACACGTCTACCCGTGAAAAAAATGTTGAGGATATCACACAAAATATTCAGTGATATCACCATATATTGTTTCCCAAGTGTTGCTGGCTAAACCCCAATGCAGTTCTTGTTTACCCATGTTCATATGATGTCATATATCAGTTGTCATTCTTCCATCATGTGTATATATATATATAAATACATATATATATCATATTGTATATAATATATATATATATATACATAATATGCATATATATATAATATGTATAAATATATAATATATCCCCATGTGCAATCGGGGAAATCACAAGGTGTCTAATCCCTACCACCCAGGGAACAAATCGGACCAACCTGATGGTCAAGCACCGAGGGGTGCAGCGCAATGCTTTTGGCCCAAATGCCCACCCTCATGTAAAAGGGTGAAGTGACATGTGCAAAAAGGTCATGACATGTCCGTCATGCTTGCATCCCATACACTTACTGACCTTTTTGTACACTTTACAGGTCTAAGTAAATGGATGGTACTGTACATCTTCTTCTATCCATGGCCAGCCACTTTTCTCGGCCATTTCTTTCACAGCTGCTACAAAGAAGTCTTGATCTTCTCGGAGTTTTCGTTCGAGGGCTTTCTTGTGCACCTTGCGGCCAGCAGTGAAGGTCTCGTCACGCACCAGCTTCCAAAACTGCTTCTGCGCGAAGAACTGGAGAAGGGCTTTGCGGTCGTTGTACTTGGTCAAGGTGTCAGCCAGTTGAGCCAGCCCACATACCCAACGAAAAAGTGTTCCAGCTTTCTGCGCTTGGATCACCGCCAGGGTCAGCTCATACCCAGCTCGTGAATCTCGAAGTCCATGGAGGCTTGAGAGGTTCCTTGTAGAGGCGTCATAGATGCCTTTGGAATCCATCACAACGGCTCCAGGCACGGAAGCTATCTGACGATGTAGTTCCTTCCTTTCCAGCTGGTGGCCACATAGTTCATAGAACAGGCCACGGATCTGGAAGTTCATATCTTCAGCTATTGTTATGCTTTGAACTTCGGCACCATTTGAACTCAGGGTCTGGCGAGGTGTGCGGCCAGATTTCCATTGAATAACAGCCACTTGCGTCTCTTGCCCTTGAAGAATTCCTTTTGGTGCAAGTCCAGTAAGCACGCCGATTGTGCTTCCCTTGTCACTTCTGTTATGATTGCTTGCATCAGCCCAACTGATCACCGCCAGCTCGTCCAGAGAAACTCCATGCCAGTGAGGAAAAATTAATTTCTGCTGAGCATTTCGTTTCATGTCTCTGATGAGCTTGTTGACCTTGTGAATCAGGGCCACTTTGCCCTTGTTTATCTCACCCAGCAAAAGTGAGGTGTCTGCCAAGTACTGGGGGGCAGATTGAGTCGCCCGCCAGGAAGCAGTACCCAACGCTCCACGAATCGCTGAAATCTCATTCTTGGTGAGGTCAGCTCCATGTGGTCGCTTTGCGTCCACCTCAATCTCCTCTATAAACTTTAGGGTGTAGTCCTTCTGGTCCATGGTGATCTCGAAATTGTCATGTTGGACTATCCAGGTGCCAGCAAACTCGAAGCCATCGCTTGCTGAAGACCATTTTCCAAATCGAAACTTGGCTCGAAGTGCACGTTCAGCTTCTTCATAAACCTTTGAACCAGGCCGTCCAGCGATGAGAAAATCATCAACATGTAGGCCTGCAACTCCAGCAATCCGTTCAGCTCCATCGACCGTCTCGGTCAAAACAAAAAGGCATTTGTCGCCCAGAAGGGGCTTCCATCCAAATTGCTTCATTGCTGAGACCACGGTTTCCCACCATTTGCGAGGGGAGTGAACTAAGCCATAAAAAGCTCGAAGAACACGTAGAGCTCTTGGATCAAGTGGGTTCCCTCCAAAATAGGATGAAAGTTCAGGCGGCGCCCAGACATAGAGCTCTTCTGACTCCAGGCTCTCATCGGTCTGCAAAAAT